CAGAAGAAGCATCATCTAGGCTGAAGCTAAGGATTCTTCCAATCATCCACTTGGAATCCCCCAGTCTGGTAAGGTGACTTTTTATTAATTTAAATGGACCTACCGAGTACATAATTAGGGGCTACTGGTAGGCCTTTTCGGGGGTAGTATATAGCCGCGTCCCCTCCTCGGGGACAAAAAAGAGACACATTCCATCTTTCTCCTGGCCCATTCATACCGACCGGTCCAAGATGTTACTCAAATCAATTTTAACATCTGCTCTCCTAGCCCTTTCGCTTGGATCGGACCTTGTGACTGCCTCCAAACATGGACGCTTTGCAGAGTTAGCTCGAGCACCACAGGAGAAAGCCAAACGGGTAGTTGAGGCTCGTAACCAGAAACATGCGAAATCGGACAAAGATTACCGCTTCTTGAGCAAGAAGACAAAGCGTGAGTGTCGAGTTATAGTATCATTGTCTACAGCAAAATCCTAATAGACCCATAGCTTACCTGGTGGACTCCCTGCCGGAGGTTCCATTTGATATCGGCGAGATGTATTCTGGTCTGGTGCCAATTGATATGGACAATAGCTCCAGGTCGCTCTTCTTCATCTTTCAGCCTACCATCAACGAGCCTGTAGACGAAGTAACCATCTGGCTCAACGGTGGCCCTGGATGCAGTTCGATGGAGAGTTTCTTGCAAGAGACTGGTCGGTTCATGTGGCAACCTGGTACTTTTGCCCCGGTGGAGAACCCTTATGCTTGGGTCAACCTGACCAATGTGCTGTGGTGAGTAGTTATCATGCACACGAACCCATAAACTTGTTAACATCTCGCAGGGTCGACCAGCCTATCGGAACAGGCTACTCTGTCGGCAAACCAACTGCTGTTTCACAAGAAGAGACGGCCCAGGACTTTGTCAAGTTCTTCAAGAACTTCCAGAACATTTTTGGAATCAAGAACTTCAAGATCTATGTCACTGGTGAGAGTTATGCTGGCCGTTACGTGCCCTACATCTCAGCTGCGATGCTCGACGAAAAAGACAAGGAGCATTTCGATCTAGATGGTGAGTTGTCGCGAATATTCAAAAGGCTGGGATGCAAACTCTGACTATTTACCAAGGTGCGCTGGCATATGACCCGTGCATTGGACAGTTCGACACCGTGCAGGAAGAAGTGCCCGTTGTGCCCTTTGTCCACCAAAATGCGAACCTGTTCAACTTCAATGAATCATTCATGGCGGAGCTCGATAGGAAGCACAAATCCTGCGGATACGAGGAGTTCATCGACAAGTACCTCACTTTCCCGCCATCCGAAGTCCAGCCGCCCTTGTTATCTAGCACCTTGGGCGACGACTGTGGTCTGTTTGGCCTCGTCAACGATGAGGTATTCCACATCAACCCATGCTTCGACGTCTACGAGATCAACCAGATGTGCCCGCTCCTCTGGGACGTTCTCGCCTTCCCCACCTCGCTCGACTACAAAGCACCTGGAGCAAGCGTCTACTTCGATCGCGCAGATGTCAAGCGAGCGCTACACGCACCCAACGGGACCTGGAGCGGGTGTTCCCTCGAGCCCGTGTACGTCGGTGGCAACTCCGGCCCGGAGCAAGAAGGTGACATTTCGGCGAACCCGATCGAGCACGTCTTGCCGCAGGTGATCGAGGCTACTAACCGTGTTCTGATTTCGAACGGTGACTTTGATATGATTATCCTCACCAACGGCACACTCCTGGCCATCCAAAATATGACCTGGAACGGCCATCTCGGTTTCCAGAAGAAGCCAGAGGCCCCCATCGATATCAAAATGACGGATCTCATGTACGCCGATGTCTTTGCGGAGAATGGTCAGACTGGTGTTGATGGCCCTCAGGGTGTCATGGGTGTTCAGCACTATGAGCGTGGCCTGATGTGGGCTCAGACTCACCAGTCTGGTCATATGCAACCGCAGTACCAACCTCGCGTAGCTTATCGCCACCTTGAATGGCTGCTCAGACGTACCGAGGAACTCTAGTGTCTTACTCGCAAAGGAAGAATCCCCACATATGCAGAGTTTATGGCAAGACAATATGTCTAGAAAGTATAAACCTTAAGAATGTATATCTTATAGGACGAACCGCTCCTGCATTACCCCGGAGTCTGGAAATAGACTACATGGTGTATCTGCATTTTGAGTTCTGTGGGGTATGGCCTCTGAAATCATATCGAAAAAGTTCAATCATTCCCTAGTTATTTCCTTATTTATGATGCCCCATACGATTGACTGTCATGAATGCCTAATAACTTGCCCTACTAGGCTTTCATTATGTATAGAATAAAGTATTGGCGGGCCTGGAATCTGCTTCACATGTTAGTCTTGTACACGACATAATGCAATTGATGGATCTCTGTCTATTTCAATCGCGCCCAAGCTTGGTGCAGAGCACTTACAATCTCTTGCAGCGTCCTACAACGTACGGAGTACTTCGTATAGCCCAGAGGAATCGCGCACAACCCCCTTGCTAGTGTATACATCGTAAGCTGCTAACAAGTGGTGTGCTTCAGCAGTGTGGAGCTCGAAATTTGTTCGGAGCTCCAGTCAATCACAAATTCAGGTGATTACACTGCCGATTATCAACTCGCAAATTAAAAAGGGAGGTACGAGGTAGTTACAAAGTAAAACGTGCCCTTCAACCGATTCTCTTATGAGTACATTGCTCCGAGCAATGTATCTTCAGCGGAGGCAACAATTGTTGCAACTACTTATGTTGTAAAAACACGATTCCTCAGATCCCAGTGACCTCTTGAAGAAGATGTTCCGCGACACACAAGTACCATAGCCGAGTGCTAAATTATTATCCACAGTGTAGAGTTTCGCCAAGTCGAGAATATGAGCAGTTGCCGACAAGCAAACATTTGAATTTCGTGGGCTAGAGGGTATCGTATGGCATAACACCGGGATTACCCCAAATGGCAAGTAGTAGTAATTTATCCGGTGAGAAGTGCTTGGAAAGTTACAGGAGCATTAAAAGGCTGTGATTGGCCGAGAGCAAAAAGCGAATTTCCCTGATCTGAATGCGGCATTGATGCTCCGCCAAGACTCATGGTTTTCACATCGTGAGTTCAAGCCTTTTTTTCTTCTCTTGTTCTACAATGTTGTAGCGTTAGTTTTTGATCTTCGCAAGGATCCGGGATTGTCGTTATACTGTAGATATAGAAACAAAATGTTTGAATACTATATAGTATCTTGGGAAAGAAGCGAGAAGAGGAAAAGTATGCATACGAGTGACGTTCGAGCGGAGCACGCATGCGGTTTCTTGACCTCAGTACGGAGTACTCTCAATACTTTGCCCCAAACAAGAGTAGTGAGAGGGTACTCCGTATGGAGTATGGATAAAGTGGTCTTACTGCAAAAATTTTCCTGGTGGATCGTGGAGGCCAATGGGGTCTCGGCTCAAGTCCAGGGTTAATTTGTTCATTATTTCAACACTTTCCGATGTATGATATGTCTCTACAAATGTTGCACATGATATGCCGATAGTTGTATGGGACTGAGTTCTGCATACTGAGTAGCTAGAGAGGTATAAAGGTAGAGCAGGTGAAGACCCCTGAGGCTGAATAGTGTATGTCGGATTTGCTTTGGTGGCGTTCAACCCTAGATCGAAAGAACATTGGACCGTGCTACAAGTATAAGCGGCCAACGTCAGCCACTTACGGGTCTTTAGGAATTATTTTTAAGCTATCCCCTGTGTGGCAGTGAATTATTAACTAACGTCAACAATTTTATTAATATAATACGCCTGTGTGTACGATATACGCCATAGTGGAACCTTGGTTTTTTCCCCTCGGACCGCCCCTGGATTCTGCCGGTACTGCCAGTCATAAAAGATGACTGTCGAATCTACCAAACCATGGATATTGAAATGTAACGTATGAGGAAATAACTTAATCACATGTATACAAGCCCAACTGTAAGAAAAGGAGGGGAGATATGAATTATATATTGTCAAGTATTCAGGTGGGAAAGCTCCCTACTAGTAGTACATTTATGATAGGCGGTAGGTGGTAGGGCGGTGCCCAGACCCGAAAACATCCATGAGGTCCAACTTGGTGCCAGGTTTGATATATAGTATGCACTCCGAGGGTAACCTCGGGGATATGTTCACACTGCTCAGATGTACGGAGTACTCCGTAAAGAACCCGACCCCAGTTCCAGGCCCGAGCCGGTCCTTTTTCTATCGAATTACAGACCATAGCAGGATATCATCACACCTTTACCGAGCAGTCCCGCTTTTCGGGCTTGGCCAATTATGACATCTCGTACTAGAAGACCAATCGTAATATATATAAAAAAAAGGAAAAAAGAAAAGGAAAAACAGGAAGCATATTGCCTATCCTCGGGATGCTCCCAATAGTATATAGCAACTCTAAAATCCCACCTCAATTTCCTTTTTCTCTTCTTTCCTCTTGTGTCAATCTCCCAAATTTCCTCTCGCTACTCAAAACATCTTGGACAAGGTATAGCTACCCCCAGCTTGCCTTAATTCCTTCATATATCTTGCTAGAGCTCCGTCTCTTAGCCTTTTATCTTTATATCCCTGTGGTAGAACTTCTGGTTCACGCTCTTGGATCATTTCTATTTTATTCATCACCACCTTGTGAGAGAAAAGAAATCAATTTCAACAAAGGCCAAGCACGAGGTACTTCAGATCCGCTCTTCAGTAGCAAGCGATCTTGCATCACCCTGGCGACAACGATTTCATCGACAGCGATAGCGACAAGCCCATCTGCAAGCCTCGATAGCAGTATATATCGACCATTGTCCTTGCGCCACTTTCGGCCCACAGCGAATTGCCCCAGGATTCACGACATATGACCCCATTGCAGCTCCTCCCCACATCTGTAGATCCACTCTCGGCCTCACACGGAATCCCCAGCGATACCTGAACGGAATAGAACGTGCGAAAAGCGACATACTTGACAGACAGCAGCAAATCCCAGGCAGTTGAACAATATATTCCAAAGCGCCATATTAAACCGTCATAATGGGACTCGAAAAATTTAACCCTTTCAAAAAGGATAGTCCGACCTTCCCCAACGTTGTCATCCCACTCGCCGACGCACCTGCCCACTCCCTCTCGGAAAAGGCAGACAAGGAGTCCAACCAGAGCTTGGACAGCGCGTCTTCCTCAGAGAATGGTGTCGCTGGCTCCAAGGATTCAACTCATCTGACCCTCGAAGCCCTTCGTGCAGAAATCGAGTCTGATGTTTCCACAGCTACCCATGACTCTGCCTATGACCGTATGTTGTTCCCGGATTTTCGGACCGGTCCCTGCGTGGAAACTCTATGTAATTGGGTTTTTGATCTAACTTGACCACACAGGCAAGGCAAAGGTGATCAACAGAGCCCTGCAGGATATCGGCATGGGCCGGTATCAATGGGAACTGTTCTTCCTTTGTGGTTTTGGTTGGACAGCAGACAACCTTTGGCTTCAGGTAGGAGATCAAAATCAAACGGATCACACAGATCGAATCTAACCATGTGTAGGGAGTTGCCCTGACGCTGACCCCTATCTCTTACGAATTTGGACTCTCCGATACGTGGGTGCGTTTCACCACTTGCTCTCTATTCTTGGGTCTCTGCATTGGTGCCTCATTCTGGGGTATTGCCTCTGATATTGTTGGTCGTCGTCTTGCTTTCAACGCCACTCTATTCCTGGCTGGTACCTTTGGTCTGGCTGCCGGTGGTGGTCCCACTTGGATTGGGTAAGTCTATGTGAAAACAACACATTTTGTATCCTACGCTAATCATAAATGCAGAACATGTGCCCTGTTCGCTTGTTTGGGTCTTGGTGTGGGTGGTAACCTGCCTGTTGATGGTGCTCTTTTCCTGGAGTTCCTCCCCTTTGTCTCCGGCAACATGTTGACCATGTTGAGTGTCTGGTGGCCCGTTGGCCAGTTAATCGGCAGTCTGCTTGCGTGGGCTTTCATCCCCAACTTCAGCTGCACTGGCCGTGAAGGTTGCACCAAGGAGAACAACATGGGCTGGCGCTACCTGGTCCTTAGTCTGGGTGCCATCACTTTTGTTATGTTTATCCTGCGTTTCTTCTTCTTCCACTTGTACGAGTCGCCCAAGTTCCTGCTCTCCCGTGGCCGCCAGGAAGAAGCTGTCGCCTCTATTCATGGCATTGCCCACAAGAACGGCACCAAGACCTGGTTGACCAGCGACATTCTTAACGAAATTGGTGGTCACGTCGAGGTGCACGAAAAAGAGACGGGGCTCTCTTACTCTCAAATCGTGGGCCGCTTCTTCTCCAAATTCTCAATGGAGCGCATTGCGCCCCTGTTCGCCAACAAGCGCATGGGCTGGAATACTGCTCTGCTCTGGTTCTGCTGGGCCACCATCGGCATGGGTTATCCCCTCTTCAACGCTTTCTTGCCGCAGTACCTCTCCCAATCCGGCGGCGTGACCAACTCGAACTACACCACCTACCGCAATTACGCCATCACCTCCATCGTTGGTCTCCCTGGCTCTTTTTTGGCTTGCTGGACAGTTGAGCTCAAGTACATTGGTCGCAAGGGCACCATGGCAATCTCCACCCTGATCACCGGTGTGTTACTGTTCTGCTTCACCGCATCCACGAACCCCGACATCCAGCTCCTGTGCAGTTGTCTCGAGGCCTTCTTCCAGAACATCATGTACGGTGTCCTGTTCGCCTATACCCCTGAGACCTTCCCCGCCCCGAACCGCGGTACTGGCACTGGTATCTCCAGCTGCTTGAACCGTATTACTGGTCTCTGTGCTCCGCTTGTCGCTATCTATGCCGGTAGCGCGGACCCCAACGCGCCCATCTATGCGTCCGGCGCGTTGATTCTGGCTTCCTTTGGGGCTATGTGCCTCCTACCCATCGAGACTCGGGGTAAGCAGACTCTTTAAGAAACAACGAGTTCAATCTTTTGTTTCAGTTTGCCAAAACTGTCTTGCATACTGTCGATTTTGACACAGCCTTCTGCTTGTGTTGGAAAGTGCAAGATGAGAACACGACCAAAAAACGGACAAAACATCCATATCCGTCCCCTTGCCATTGCGATCTGAATAATTCGACCAATGGATTACATGCTCAAAGCACTCGGGGGAATATATCCATGTATGGACCGGATAAAGTGTTGTCGTCATATAATCCAGTGACCATTCCCAGGTGGCCTCTACACTTGAACATAGATACCAATCAAGATACCAAGTTTGTGTTTTTTTTTCTCTTAATTGCGAGTTGGATTTCGATGTTGTATAACTTTTCCAATAACAACCTATGCAGTTTGCTACACATGTCTCATGGCCGTCATGTGTTTAGCTTATAAAAAGTTACCACCGGTCTCTATGTCTACGTTCGTACATAATGAGTTTGCTACATTGGTACCAAACGAAAAGACCAATTGGAGACTACTACCAAAAGAAAGATTATATGAAAGTGAAACCTTGCAAGGTTCCAACCTGGAAATATTGAAAAATATGCTTATTGAATCCTTAAGAAATATGGATAGACGTAACTCCTATGATAACGACAGCAAAAAGAAAAAGAAAAGAAAAGACCAGGAAGAACTCCATTCCAGTCCAAGCAAGCTCCCCGGTAACTCAAGAGAAAGCGAAAAAGAAAATCCACTTCACCCATTTTCCAATTGTGACTATGTAGCGTGCAGGTTCCTCTCCGGGACCGATCCGATAACGTGCAAAGAGCTTGAAAAAAACGAACAAAAAAATAGAGAAAATAGCCATGAAAGAAAAGCGCAGAGATAAAAAAAATATCAGTGAAATTATCGCTCATCAACAAAGTGCAAAGAAGTTATGAAGACATCACATCATAAACCTGATGGAGAAATACATCCTGTCTATGCCACCGGCTGATTACGACGGCCACGCTTCTCAAGCAATGTGGAACCGTTCAGAGTAAGCTCAAACGGCTGCTGATGCTTGCGAATAGAGCTCTTTGCAGCACTAGCGACAGTGGCGTCATGCATCCCGTAGCCCTGTTTGGGCTTTGGCTGGTGGGGTGGTTGTCGTGCCTGTGCAGCGCTGCTTTGGGCGCCAAGGTTCGTGGATCGGAGCTTAGCTTCCATTCCGGCCATGTCCCCTTGGTTCTTGCCCACCTTTGCTGGTGGTTGGCCTCCGATACGGTGGCTGTATTCGGGCTCATCGTCATAATCTTCGTTGAGAGCACCCAGTGCCGATTGGAATCCTGCCGTGCCACCGCGGTTGGATTGACGCGCACGGCGCTTTCCTTCCTCTTCTTGTCTGTGCACTGCATAGCCAACATCAAAGACTTCACGGAGGTTGAAAGCGCCTGGAGATCGGAAATCCATGCGGCGATCTGCTGTGACGGATGGCTGATCAAGGAAGCGGGCACTGGCGGGCTGGTAGGGCCCGTGTTCGGCGCCGGAGGAGTCGAGTTGCTGTGGTCCTTTCTCAGGGGTCTGGAGGTACGGTGTTGCTAGAGGGGGTGCGTCTGCGGCGGCGGTAGTCTCCTCATCGGTACCCTGTATCCAGGGGTGTGCGAGGAACTCCTGGATGGTGAACCGCTTTTCGGGGTCCACGGTGAGGAGATGCGAGATCAGATCCTGGGCCGACTTGGAAATATCGTCCCACCAGGGTGACAAAAAGGTGTATTGGCCGCGTGCCACCTTCTCGGTAAGGACTTGGATGCTCTCGTCATAGAATGGAGGGAACCCACAGAGAAGTGTGTAGAGCACACAACCCATGGCCCACATGTCCACACTTTTAGAGTAACGCTCATCTTTGACGATTTCTGGGGCTGTGTATCCGACGGTACCGCAAGGCGTCATCGTTTGGCTATCCCAAATCACCTTGGACAGACCGAAGTCGGCAAGCTTGATCTTGCCAATACCACCAGCACCAACTCCGGGGATAAATTCTCCCTCATCTTCTTTGTCTTCGTCCCCTGGTTGTTGAGGTTTGGGACTCTTGCTGGGAACGTGGGAAATTGGATAGAACAGGAGATTTTCCGGTTTAATATCACTTCATAAGAATGTTAGTTTTCACAACCGCAAATCTAGACTGACGGGATGACCAACCGATGAACGACACCTGATGTCTCGTGTAGATATTCTATCGATTCCGCAACCTGGCGAATGACGTGACGGCTAAGATTTTCGCTGAAATACGTCAATCGGACAATCTGATGGAATAATTCACCCCCGGGGCAGAGTTCAAGGACGATGTAGTAATATTGCCGTGACTCGGAGAAATCAATCAATTTGACGACGTTGGGGTGATCAAGGTTGCGCATAATCTGAACCTCTTTGAGGATATTTGCCCGCTGTTAAAAAGATTAGAGTCAGCAATGACAAAACAAGATGCGCAGCCATGCACAAAGGCAATAGTATGCTATGGGGTAGTGTATCGTTTCGCCGGCAGACGGAAGTCGCCATTGACAGGAAGCAAGTCATGCGTCAGGAAAGAATTGTTTGCGCACCTCCGCCGCCTTGGGGACTTTTTTGACCGTTGGATAGTGAGGATCGTTCTACAGAACGCATTGGCCATGTTTATAGACATATTGCAAACCATGTAACAACGAATAAACGAAATCACAAAAACCACAAGGAAAATAAAAAGAAAGGCACCTTGCGGTAGAACCTACCTGATTGCTATTCATTTCAAATTTGCGGACGACCTTGATGGCCACCTCGCCATATTCCGTTGTCGAGTCCTTGGCACGATAGACGTTACTGAAGGCGCCGTCACCCATCTTCTCTACCAAGATCCAGCGCTCTAGACCGGGGTATTTGGGCATCTTCGATCGGTTCAAGTTCTCCTCTGCCACTAGCCGTTCGATTTCGACAGAGCGATCATGTCTGATCTGGGAATCAGGTTTCTGGAGGGCATTGGCTCGGCCTTCAGGGCCAAAAGCCTCGAGATCAGGTGTATACTGGCCTATCGGTTGGCGTTGTGGCTCTGCATGGATGGTGGAAACGTCGGTCGTCGGCTCAGAATGAGGGGTGACCAGGCGGGCCTGCTTGCCATGCCGAATGAAGTTCTTGATATTCTGTATTGTACTCATGATATCGAAGAAGAATTGTGATTCATAAACAGATGTCTTGGAGGTCTTGGGTTGGTTTCGGAGAAGAAAGGAAAATAGAGAGATAGAAGAAGGATGTCTGGCGATTGAAGCAGGGATTTTCCAGGAGGGATTCGTTTCAGACAAGTTGAAGGATGGATTAACCCCACTGAAGGACTTTGCAAACAAAACAAGAAGAATAGAGAGAAAAGCAAGACTGGAAAGCTACAAATCAAGAGAGAAAAAAATGGAGAGAGAAAGGAGATGATGGCGGGGGAGAGCTATGACGAAATGAGATCTTTCCCTGCGATGTCATTTGCCAAGGCCCGACAGTCCGCCCATCTTGGTTCGACCTCTCGGGACGTCATGGTACGCCACTGATCCACCGTGGTAATGAGCATGTTGTATATTCAAGTTGATGATTCTTTCTTGCATGTAGTATCTGTGTTCCTTCTTTAGGACCATTTACCCCAGAGACCAGAGACCAGAGGCCAGCCACCAGACACCATACACCGTGCACCAAAGCAGAGACCAGAGACTGTCAACTTGCAGAGGCCACTCTCTATTTTCTTGGAATATTCCTGGCCAATACCACCTTATCAAGGTAATCTTGTTCCCTCACACAAAATGCCGGTTTGACCTGATTCCAAAAGTCTTGAAACCCTGGCTTGTGTGGGGATTGATATCGTCATCACCCGTTGCCACATGCTCGAATTGTTGGAATTCCGGATTCAGATTCACAGATTCACATTGCTTTTATCCTATGATGATGTCTGTGTTACCATTCTGAGAATATCCGCTAAGTTTTGAGTCTCCGATTCGTACGGAGAGCCCCAAGATGAAGATGCGGATCTCAACCCTTCCCTGGGATGCTCCAATACCAAAGGGCAAACATACCAACCTTGAAAGTGAGGAGTGCGCATATAAGTATGAGATGGAGCCCTATTTATGTACAACATAGAAGTCTCGGGAACATCCTGGCATATTAGATTTGGCTCCACATGGCTATGTAGATCAAGCCGTATAAGAGAAACAGCTAAATGAGTCAACAGGTACATATAGTGTCCACGGGTAGCCCTGGCCGTGCCCTGGGGTCTACCTAGGTAGTGCTGTGCTTAATAACTATCCAGACATTTCCGAGTTCAGCCCTCCAGGGCTAGCACCGCGAGATTGAACTTTCTTCCTTGCGAACATCAATCCCACTCATAGATTCTATCCTACTCAATATGAGCATATTCATTATAGTACGATATACTCCAGGGCTCTAACGATAAGACTGTCTGCCTATCATACACAATTTCCCTTCACCACCACCTAATTGTGGAAACTACCGTTCCAACCATCGGATCTTATAGGGACCCCGATTTGATTGCTAGCTGACCGCAGAACTGTACAGATATTAGATTTTTTTTATAAAAAAAACCAACGCTCCTTTTACAGGCATAAGAGTTATAACATACAGTGGCTACACAGACTCAATGACATGAAAGAAAATTTCCACATAGGCTAGAAACAGAAAGCCCATTTAAGTTTTCGAAAGTCTACCGTTTTCTCATCCTTGATGTATTTGCAGTACAAGATCAGCTAGGTGTACATACACTTTCAAATGTAAGTCATCTCCCCAAAACGAGAGCCACCAAACAAGAGGATACAAGCCTTTATATATCCAAGAGAAGACCAGTCAAGTAAAAAGTGGAAGTTGGAATAAAAGCCAGAAATGTATTGTACACAAGGCCATGCTACAAAGCACTATTTTATTAATATCTATGCTGTGATATCATGATACACTGTGCTGTACTTGGTTGCTTGACATCCATAGTTCTTCATTCGAGAGCCCCAAAATAAGGATGTGCATTTTCTCTCTAGGACTGGAATGTATGTATGTCTGAAACTTGCATCAAGGGCCAAACATGCCAAGTAAGGGCTGTGATAGAGCCATGAGATCTCAAATCACTCTATGTCCAAGGAATATTGACATTTAATTTCAAGTCTCCACATGGTCTCGATTTGCAGATGAGGTCGAGCATATACATCCTACATTGTAGGATGTAGTAATCAAATCACTGGTTCACACTCAAGGATGAATCTATGCCACCGAAACTAGTCTTAATAAGAGAACAATTCCAAGCCATGGTAGGATCGGAATTTGAGAGGTCCCTCATACCTACCTAGGTAGAAGCTAGTGTGATGGATCTGCAGTGTGATTACCAGTGTGAAGTCTCAATGAGATGAGGCTGCAAGGCATCAATATTACCTGAATAGGAAAGAGGCGCTAATCAGCGGGAAACAGTGGCACGAAGACACACCCCCTTCGTCATATTATTATTCAATCTTTCAAGCGAGCGTTTTTGAACACTGTATTCTTTTTTGATTCTTTTATCCTATGTTACTTGAATGATTATTCTTTATTGCCTCATACTTAGCTGAAACACGGGGATAAGAGGGCTTGAGACTAGACTCCCCCAGCCACTCGCCAATATCGTCCATCCCCACCCTTACAGCTCACATTGCACAGAGACAGGTCGAGCCAGAGTCTTCATTTGTGAAAGCATATGCCGATGCTCCGTATTCCGTACTGAATCATTTCTTGTCCTTTGTGACGGACTCGAGTGTACCTCGGACGATCGGCCACCCCCCCTACATCATACAGAGACAAAGCAAAGTCTTTGGACTTTAGGATCCGTTGACTTTGACTATTGGTCGCATCTTGGTCGCGAAGTGATTGCGCGCGATGCGACCCTTGCGATACTCTGAACGAGACACCCTACTCCGTACTATGATACCCAAAGGTATCTAAACGCCAATCGAATTCACAAAAGCGACGGTGGATGCTTCCGGTCTCCGTGGGTGTGCTGTTTCCGAGATGCCGGGCGTGGAAGTGATGGGGTCATCGGAGGATTTGCAAGCATTCGAACGGCCGCTCCTAAGGTCTCACAAGACGCTCCCTCGGCGGGGTGTAATCGTTCCTAGCATTGAAGTCATCCAACCGGTCTCCCCGGATCAGAATGGGAGACATACTGCGACGCCGTCGCTTCCCTTGACACCCCCGGGTGCAGGCCACGAAGAACTCGTGGTTGACGAACGAACACCTCAGAAAATGAATTCTTCTCTGTCAGACATACCAACATCTGGGATGTTGACCCCTCGCCGTCCTTCTAAGCCTCCAACCCCGGATGTGACGCCTCCCCGAACGAACTCGAATAAGCGACCTACGTTGAACCAGTTTAATTATTTCTCCTCGTCATCTCGAGCCGATTCATTTCAAACGGCTTTGGAGAATATCTCATCAGAAGAAGATATGGACACTCCGGTTCGCATGTCTCAGGCCACGACCCAGACACCAAAACAAAGGAGGCAACCGTCAAAGCCACCCGCCTCAAATGGATATCTTTCACACTTTCCAAATATAAAAGAATCTCCGCCATCTACTTCTCAACAACATAGCGAAACCGAATGCGACACCGGCTTCGAGTATTTTGATGGGCATTGGGCCGCAAACTCGATCGATGGGTCGCCAACACCGTTAGCCGGAAAGCGAAAGTCTGCACAGAACCACACTCGATCAGTCTATAACTCAACCACTGAGAGAGATGTGCTGGATGTAAAGCACCTGGATGCCTCTTTGATGAGGGAAAAAAGTCTGCGGGACCGTGTCAATGGTGCGCATGAAGTCAAAGCAAGTACCTCAATGGAGCAGTTCCGTGAGAATATTGGGTCATCATCACCGGAGGGTGTAGCAAGATTTAGTGGACTAGACGCCCGTCCTTTGTCGGGCATCTCCTCGACATCCACCGTTGAGGCTATGATAATCGACTCTCCCAAACGAGCCCAACGAATACTCCGGCATACCGAAAAGAGAAGCTCTCTGCGGTCTGCCAGCTCTCCCATCACAAGATCTGAGCGTACATCTTATGCCTCCATCCCTGAATCCCAGCACCGCCTGATTCACAAGGCCGCTCGCATTTCTGATCAGGATGTTCAAAGCGGAACATCGGAGATATCGTTCCCGGCCAAGACTAGCAACAGTGCAATACAGCCCAGTATCGAAACTATCAACGTGGTGGTCATACCAGAGAGAAGTTCGTCTCTCTGGTCCCGCCCTAACAGTCATGCTTCTTCCAAACCGGGTTCTCATCGATCAAGCCGTCGTCCTCCGACAGCATCAACGGGTCGCATAGATATCCCGGGGCAGAAGAAACGCACCGTCTCTGATTCAATGTCGACGAGATCTCGCGAGACCGATTCCAGAGGTTGTCCCATGGGGCGACCTGTCATTCCACTCCGGGCCTCCTCGCTTTCTGCGCCGACGAGTCGGAACAATTCTCGCGCGACTTCTCTCACTTCCAACAGCCTGCGAAGTCGTCGCACAGTGCGTCCCGAAATACCACCCCGAAGCTCGTCGCTTTCTGCGCCAACGAGTCGGAACAATTCTCGTGCAACTTCCCTTACTTCTGACAGTCTACGAAGCCATAATTTAGCCATTGACCTCGAGATGCAAAAACGTCGTGAGCATCAGCCGGTGTCTCCGCCTCGTCACAACGTCTTGGCTTCGCCTGACCGCCATGGCCTACTCGAGGCTCCCAATATGCACGATCTCTTTGCTAGCTCCGATGATATGGCAACCCTGCGTCCTCCATCTTTGCCTTTCACCCAAGGCTCAATTCCATCGTATTCGCCAGGACCTATCGAAATCCAAGAGGCCACAGCCGTCAGCCTGTTCGCACACAACAATCACTCACTGCTGCTTGTTGACCCTCGGGTACAAGCCTCTTCGAGCCGCCCTTTCCAAGCGCTTGGGATTTCTTATGATCTTCCCCAACCCCCTCACACGCCCGACAATCCATCACAAATAGCAACGTTCAATGTCGACTCGCCTTTAAAGAACCCTCGCCCTCCACCCAAGCCCCCATCCACAAGACCTCTTCCCCCGCTTCCATTACCTGACGCGCAAGATGAAAACAAAGGCCTAGGTCGACGATGGAGTTCCGTCCGTCGTACCTGGAGCGCACGCCCTCGGTCGGATTCCTTCAACAGCATAGCGCGGTCATTCTCCATGAAATCGGCCAAGAACCGAACTGCAGGAATGGAAATGGACAGTCGTCTATATCCGTTTTGGCGGCCGCGAGGATTCTGGGAAGACGTACCCGGGTCCCCGGAGAAAGATCCCTCGCCGACGCGGGAAACTTTGCCGCGCCCCGATGAATCCTTGATTGTAAACAACTCTCTAGGCCTGCCCCAGCGGCGCATCATCTTCGACGGCCCGCCTGCTCTAGCGCGTCGCCGCCCAGAAATGAGACGCTTGTTCAATGGAATGACTAGCAACGGTAGCTTGGTTGATCAAGGCATGTTCCGAACAGGATCCCCATTGAACCCGACTCGCTTCCGGTCTCTCTCTCGCTGGGGACTGCGGCTCCAGTCGATGTCTTGGCGTAATGTGCGAAATCGCATGCGACGTGTGCGCCAGCGACGAGACGAGAGAAAACGGGCTGTCCGGAGGGAAATCCTCAAGCAGAGTATTGGTGGCCCTGTTTACGTGGCATCTAGTGCTACAGCTGAGGTGGCTACGAGATGACCTAAGTGATGTCCTTTTCTCCATTTTGTCTCATGTCATTCCCATATTTATGATTGGATATGTTTCACGCATTTCAAACACTTGCCCGACGATTTCACGATGCATTTGCTTTTTTTTTGTTTTTGTTTTTGAAATTGCTTCAATGCCCCGAGACGATCTTTTAATATGAAATCTATGATGATTATGAAACATGAACCCATGATGACGATTCCATTGTTTTTGTTCCTCCTTTGTTCCAAGTTTGTTGGCTTCTCAGATGTACCATTATCTTGTTTTGTTTACTTCTAGCATACATACATGTGTACGTATCGAATTTCCAGCCTGTTCATCAGTCTAGGACCGAATAAGGGCTCCAAGCTGTCCCTTGCTTCACGTTGTGTGACATAAGATGGCCTACGAAGCAATAATCCCTTGGCCCTAGGGCTGGATGTAAATAAGTTCATTGAAGTAATGTATTAAATGAATACGAGCACACACCTGGATGTACTTAATGAAAGCAGGACCAATTTAGCTTCATATTATTTGAATAATGAAGGCTGGGTGTCTTATAAGACAGCCGGCTATTCAAGTGGTCATATCTGGCATATTAACCAGATATAGGGTATCTAAAAAAAACATCCAGCTCATCCTAAACCCATCAATATCAATGCCTACCACCCCAGTAGACATTGCCTCTTCCCCTTCCCCTCTTCCCACGTCCACGTACACTCGACCGGCCCCGAATAGCCATAGACCCATACTCCGTTTCGCGCTCCACTTGTTGTCTCATCCGCTCTATCGGTTCATCTTCCTGATCCGCCCATGATACTGGTTCATCTTTTATTGATTGTGCTGCTAGTCTCTCGCGGCTGTGTTTGAGCATCGCTTCCCAAGTCGGCGGGTCGAGGAAGGGTTGTGGCGGCATAGAGAATGAGACTTCGAAGCGTGGGGGTTGGGGCTCGTAGTCTTCTTCGTCTTCAACTGTGTTTTTATTATGCTGGCTTGAACATGTGGGCTTATTTCTTTCTTGAGTGGACTCTTCGTATGATGGTTTGATGCGCGTTTCTGCGGGGATGGCGCTAGGATTGAGGACTTTGTATACTTTGGAGCCCGGCCTTTTGGTTGGTAAGGGTAGAAGAGCGCACTTATGTGGGATGAGCAGAGATCGAGATTTCTGGGAGGAAGTTGACGACGCCATGATTTCGAACCAACTTCAGGTACGCAGGCAAAGGATGAAGAGATGAAGTTGAAACAGTCCACGGGTTGGAGATAGGCGGAGTCAAGATCTTATCAGCTTATCGTGTAGTATTTTAAGGCGCCAAGGCAATTGATGTATGTTTCCCTTTCGATGTTATTAGCACTACATTAATTGAAATAAATATGAATGTGCCCCGGTCGAGACATGATTAAAATTCTACCTGATTTCTTTGGAATGCGCCTAGACACACCGGTTCCCCCTCGAGATATCCTTACTAGCGCTTGCGCAGAGCAATCTTCAGCCCGAAGTTGGGCACATAAAACTCCTCGAATGAAAGCGAACCAGTCAAGGAGAGGGAAGCCGAATTAGGCAGGAGTATGTCATACTGATTTAGGATATGCGCGAAGGCGAGCTTCATGAGCGCGCTAGCCATCCATCGTCCAGGGCTACAAACACGAGCAAAAGTCAGCCGATAGGACCCAGGCGGTTGGATTTGAAACCAGGGCACGAAATTAAAAGGGCCAGCCAGAAAAATGACTTACCAGGCATGTGCGCCCATTCCAAAAACCAGATAGTCAGGGCTCAGGTCGACCAGCCGGGAATCCTTGGCTCCAGCTGTAGCACGCTTGATGAACCGGAAACCGTCGAACGCGTCGGGGTTTGCATAGTGCTCGCTGGATCGTTGAATGATTCCGCTTGGGATGGCAACGTGGGAGCCCTGCTTGAGTGTGATGCCTGTTTCATCATTCCATACTTGATCAGCTCAATGTTTCCTTGGTGGCCTGATATTGTGTGCGCAAGAACAAACCGTTATAAAGTTTGAAGTTACTAAAACAGACCCGATGGGCAGAGACTAATATCCATATTATTGCATTAGCCATGCACAATCCCCATGGGTGGTCGCATATAGACGTACGTGCCGAGGGGGATTCAATCGCTGACACTCCTTCAAGAAACTATCCATCAAAACCATGCCATCACAGGCTGGAACGGTTGGTCCCATTTTAGAAAAAATCAGATCAATTTCCTCGCGCAGGGGTGCAATATATTCGGGTCGTCGAGCTAGCTCAGCCAGGGCGCCGTAGAGTCCCTATTGGTGGTTAAATTAGCAGATTGCAGGATCACGATATGCGTACAGAGTACTTACATAGGACGTGGTGTAGATAAAGGCAAATTGCAGAAGCAACATTTCACCTATCACCTCTGAATATGTCCATCGCTCCCGAAGAACACTACTCTCATACAGCCATTGGAAGATTTCAACCTATAGATGGTTCAGTCACCGTATCATTGGAGGGAGAGGGAAGGGGAGGCAGGGATACCGGATTGTCCGAGTCATCGAGATTGGTCTCACTAGGTCCATTACCACTGAATATCTCAGCGTGATATTCTGCTGCACGTGCATCGAAGTGCTTGAGCATAATCTTACGCGAGGCGTGCATATCCCAACTAGTCCCAAGAGTGGCAAGGCGACCGATGAGCCCACCAATATAGCTATTTGTGTCTTAGTCCACGGAAAATGAAATTCAATGAGGCGTCTCACTCACGGCTTCAAGCAATCTGGAATAAGAAATTGTACACGAGTGGTTACTATCATCCCAAGGATGTGGTCCTTAACAGCTTTAAGATACTCCTCATTTCGAGAAAGCCGCGAGCCGACAATAGCAAAGCTGCCACTGCAGGCTACGATCGAGTATGCCAAATCAAAGCAGCCGATGCTGCATTCTAATTGAAAACATTAGAGACTATCTCGCCTATAAAGTCGCCAAAACTTACCCCCATCTTTGAAGCCTAGGGTCTGCAGCTGCGAGATAATTGCCTGATTCATAGCGGGCATATACCGATGCAAGTGCTTGTAAACCATGACACGAATCAAACCAGGCGTAGTTTTAGCAATTTTCGGCCATCCCATTCCTTTGGGGAAATAGCCAGGCATAACATGAGAGACCTGAAGGAGCTGCATAATGTTCGTTAGCCTAAACAGAGAGAGAATCCACCCAAAAGCCTACCTGGTCAATCCATGGCTCGGGGGAGACGAGCGTACTCCGTGTATTTCTTAGTTCTTCGATCAACTCCGGCTGGCATAATATGACCTGACCGAAGCGGAATGTCCGCGGAATCTCGAACAAGCCATTTGCGAATTGTTCATAGCCTTTCTTTATCATACCGGGCCCGTCCACAACAAACCTGTACTGCTGGTATAATATCGAGAAATAGTCTTTGCGTGCAGGGAAAGGAACGTGATTCTGCCAATTCAGCAAATCGTATCAGCATGTGAGTTTGCACTTTGGTCAAATATCACCAGATGGGGGAGGTCACTAACGTTAGCCATGAGACAGGAAGTAAACACCAAAGCAGCCGCAACCAAGAAGCAAAAGATAGAGGGAACAAATAGGCACAGCACTATAGCCGAAATGCGAGGTTCCACCTCGATCCAATTGAGGATATAAAGGAAAGCCATTTTATTCTAAAGAAGCAATGGGAAAGAGAAGAAATGGACAAGAAGGGCCAGGATGACCGAGATTATATAGGTTTCGTCCAGCAAAAAAGGTTGAGATGACAGAAAAGCAATAATATCACTGTGCTAGGTTGAAATTGCTTCTACGGAGCGAATCTGTGCTCACAAAACGAAGCGACAAAAATAACTCGGTGTGATATACGTACATAATGTACCGGACTTTATAATTGCATGAGGCTACTCTCTGGCGCATTTTTTCCAGACAAGGATTTTAGGCCAAATATAGCATCATATTGGAAAAGAACCAAGGACATCGTACAAGGGACCCATAAGAAATATAGACAGACGGACATGAAAAGAACATGAACAAACTCCCTGGGAAGTATCAGCGATCGAATATGTGGTATAATGATACAAGCAGACAACGCAAGCCACGCCCGCAAAAAAAAAAGAAGAAAAAAAACCGGCAATAATGCCAAGGAAATATTAGGCAGGCAAATCTATGCGATGCCCTGAGATTCTATCCCCCCCATTGTGGAGTATGAATAAGGCAAGTCTACCAGGCCGTCAAGCAGCCAGTTCAACGGATCGAAGACTTCGTAATTAGGTTCAATGAAGCCACTTGGAAGTCCGTTAGACTGGGTGGTGGGTGGTTGAATCCCAAGACTAGCCTGGGATAGCAGGGGTGCTGGGGCAAGGCTTGGATCATTCCCTGAGATTCCAGGTGTTAATGTAGATGTGTGTACAGCGGCGACAGATGAAGTGGCCGAAGAATCGGCTGCCGAGTCGGGGTTTGTTGGGTTTTTCAGATAGGCTAGAATCAAAGGTTAGAGACTTTAGATTTATACCTGAGGGTATAGAGGGATACTGACCTTCAATGTTTCGGCCCTTGGTCCTGGCATCCTCTCGCCAGCGCCACACAGAGTCGAAAAGCAGGGACATGCTCATTCGGCAACGTACTTTGAGTCGCAGGGAGTCATCAACATCGGTACTATTGTTAGGCCGTTGAGTCGCTCCTCCCAATCTCCACATCTGAGCCAACACTTCAGCAAGCCGTTCGGGTAGGTCGTTGCTGGATGCTGAAACCCCCCGGATGGCCCAGATTGTACGATTGAATAGGTTCTTGGTGTATTCCATGTCTATGTGAGATGCGAAGAAGCTCTTGCACAGCTTCAGAAGAGTACAACCGGCGGCAACCATCATCTGGTAAACATAGTATGGGGTGTAAGAGAGAACCGGGCCAACCTCGGTCTCGAGGTTCAGGACAACCTCGAGGAATGATGTCGTCGCGACATACAGAGATAAGACGCGTTCGCGGTAATTCTTAGTGGTTGGCTCGTCAAAGAATGCCGAAAGGTGCAAATGAAGGTTAGCAGCACGGAGGAACAAGTCAGTAATACCTAGATGTCGTTAGTCACGCATCCAATATATCCCCACTTGAACTTCGGAAGCTTACAGTCATTCTGCGATTTAAGCTGTTCTTCCAACTCCTCAAAGTCTCGCGACAGAAACGCAATCATTGTTGAGCGTTCATGGTCGCTAGTTAAGCCAACAGGATCGCGTCGGTTTGTGTAAAGCGCTCGGGTGACTCTGTCGCAAAACTTTTCGATCTCCAATCTTGGCCTTATATCTTCAGGAAGCTTGAAGTTTGGGTCTAGCGCATCGTTCGAGGACAATGTCCAGTCGTAAAGAGTAGATGATGGCTGTCCATAACCGGTGGAAACTCTGCAAAGTAAAACATGAGATGAAGGCGAGCAGCAATTGACTATGGTTTTGTACATACCTTTGAGCAACAATATTGCAAATCGCCCAAGTTCGCACCTTGTCTCTCAATTCATCCTCGATCAGTTCCACTCGGAATTTACTGAAGTCCTGAGTGTGAGAAGGCCGGTGGAGACCAAGCTGCATGGCAACCTGTACCATCATTCCACATAGCATGAAGGTCGGATCTGTGGAGGTGCTGCTTGTGGGGAACGGCCATGAACATAGTAGAGCGAGAGCCTTCACAACATGGTAGCTTTGAGGGATATCTGCTAAAGTGCTCCAGACTAGCCGGCTGACAGGACCAGCCAGAGAATTCAACAAATTCGAATCGCCTTGATAGCGTCGTGCACCGACACTGAGAATTGTCCAGAAGAGTAACGAAGAAGAATTGTGATAATCATCGGGGGACTGATTTCGGTCCAAAAATGGAAGGAAAGGGTGGTAGTATGTGAAGAATCTGATAGGAACAAGTTAGATCAATCACAGCGACTTGACAGATGGGGACTCACATATTAAACAGTTCTGCCACTTTCTCGGGAACAACCATAACATCCTCAATCCGTCTGATTTGTCCACCGTTCCTCATGAAGTTGGTACCATCGAAGCCCGAACGAAGGTCTAGAAGAGATGCGACAGCTTCTTGAGATCCCATGTACTGATCTGCGGACATGGCTGATGGGGTTTGATAGACTGCAGGACTGACTTGACTCGATTCTTGCTTTGGTGTCAATTGTCCTGCGGTCAACGCTTGTTGCTGTGACATTCCAGGGACTGGTTGGCCAGTAGCAATCTGCTTTCTGAGCTCCATTATTTCCCTCTCCATTTCCGCATTGCGGCTGCGCTTCCCAACACGTTTGAAGTTGGACTCGATTTTACAATCGAGCCTCAGTCGACGGCATCGCGAACAATCGGTCCATGGGTCTTGGATGACATCGCATCGGAGCTGTCACAATCCGATAAGGTTAGTCAAAACTGGAGAGTGCTGAAGACTTTGCGGTAATATGCTAGACCTACTTTCTGCTGTCGACATTCATTGCAAGCGCGCTTCACTGGCTGACGTCTCTTCTCCTCGCGCGAATCATTGTCATCCATATCCTCAATACTCCCCGGAGAACTATCGATCCCCGCAATGGTCATATTGCGTTTGCGACCATGCACGCCATCGGCGGCAACTGAGACAGCCAACTGATTTACACCCGCCATTACGGGACTGGTGCCAATAGAAGCATTATCAATGGTCGCAATCGGTTCAAGAGTTTGGGCCTGGCCCTCTCCGATGCCGTTCGATCGCCCGAGAGAAGCCAGGCTGAATGACGTTTTTGCTGATCGAGATCTCGGTTTCAGATAGTGAAAGAGATTTTCCAACGGATTCGCAGACACTCGGTTTAGGTCTTGACCCAGGCAGTCTGATTTGGTTCTGTTATTTCCTTTTCCTTCTTGTCTTTCTCCAACAAAACCGTCTCAACTTTCTCGTTCTCACTCGGTGAGCGCACAGCACACTTCTTCCGGGAAGCTCGATGAGTCAGCGCAGAGGGGCATATCACCTGACCGGATATGCTTTATATTTATCCACGTGACCTGAGATCGGCTATTCTAGCACGTGACCGGAGATGGGCTGAAGTACAGGCTTATACAGAGTCCTATGTAGTTACACAAGTATGTAGTAACAAGCATATGAAAAAAAAGGCACTAGAAAGACACTAGAAACTCTTGTGTACAACATACAATATACAGCGCATCTCCACACAGCCTTGGGGCCCTACTGAAGCCACCAAGGCAGCAAGGCAGTGCAACCGCGCCCGGTTTCGCCCTGTGTTTTCTATGGGTGCATCCAATCCAGTATAAAATCAAAGAAAACGTTTTCAGATTATTGGCTCGGATTCTAAGCGAATACGAAGATCTCATTCGCTAAAATCCTTGTATTTGGAGGAGGCTTAGCCAAAGGTGGTTTACGTTTCAATCCTTCAGGGCAATTCGTAGCAATCGTCATAATTGTATCTCGTCTATCTCGTCCATCTGATCCACCTCGGAGGCTATGAAAGGTCACGAATTCGGTAAAAGCGCCATGCCGACTTGACTTTATCTGGGTGTACTCAGATACGGGATGATACCTAGTGTTTATCATCAAATTGATATAAAGGGCCACCGGACCTCGGGACCACACCCCTCAGACTTGACTCAGCATCACTTACACCTTCTTCCCAACATACTTCCTCTATCAAACGTCAACATGGTTGTGCCAACGGATAAAAGGTCCAAAGAGGTACCCGATCAATCTGAAGTCATCGGCAAGTCTTCCAGTGAGCGACCACCTTCCTATTCGGCCAACCAGGTCGAGCAGCCGCCCCTAGAATTGCCACAGCTGGATCTGAGTTCCCATCCACCTTCTTCGACTTCCATCACTCGCGATCAGTGTGTTGCACATCTCAAGTTTCTGGCTGTGCTTGCAGATCTGCGAGATACTATCTCTAGTGATGACGGGCTTTTTGGTATCCACGATGCCGAAGCTGAAAGATTCCCGAATTCACTGAATGAAGCGCGGGCTCGTCTTCGCGAAAAGCGCTGGGCTGTATATACAGCGCGTGCGGTGGATCGATATACCAAGTGGTGGTCTATTGGCCTCCCGCGGTCAAGACCGATGGCAACTATTACTGACTTGGAGTGTATCGACTATGAAAACATCCTTAATTGTGGTACTATAGTTGCGTGGAGCACGGACAATCTACCCCCGCTGGGTAAGTGTATTGATACTAAGGCAAAAAGACCGTTGACTAATTGCTCTATAGATATTTTGATGGTCTGGCATGCTCATTCGTTGAATCCTCGGAACTTCCTTGAGGATTGCATTCGATACGGCAAGATTAGCACCTGGGCAACGGGATTTCCATGGGAAGTGATAGATCGCTGCATTAACAATCACACGATGGAGTATACAGTTTCTGAACAAGCCCAGCGGCTGTTCGAGCAGAAACTGAACTTCAAGTGGAACAATCTGGACGACCCGCCGGCCAAGCAAGTCAACTGCCCCTGCTGTGGACGGGCGAACGCTGTCCCGTGGACAGAAGCTCGCTTTGGGGGAATTGTTGCCTACGCCTTCAAATTTAGCAATGGCTACGCCGATTATTCATTTGAGGTGAAATGCGTCGGCTGTCAACACATGATCGACCATGGCCGGCTCAAGGTGGCAAAGTTTCGAAAAGACCTTGAAGCAAGTCTTTACGAAGACCTCCCTATGCCCGGGTCGTTCACCAATCTTTATGGAATCCCCGAGGGGGGCTCAACTGCTAATACCAATCATCAGCCCCCCCGGGGCATGCTATTCCCCACACGAATCGTCCAGGCTGCCAGAAAGGACTTGTTGCAATTCACTGATGCTCGAGTGGATCGGTGTCAGAATATCACCCAACTGAGGGAACTACTTGAGACCAAGCTACGCGACAAAAACATTTTGTGGAAAGCACATGGTGTCTACCTTAAACGTTTTGAGTATGCCGAGAAGATCCAATTCCGAAGAATGATGTCTCGATACTGGGAGAACCTCGGTCCCTTCGCGCTAGACCTTGTGGGCGCTGTTATCAGACAAGGCACTTTCGTGGATAAAATGGACAAAATCGACTGGCTGCACTCGCCGACAGTCTTCAACACTATGGACCGACTGATCAAAAAGTACGAAGTGTTCTTCGGGATCATGATTGAAAACCCAGATAGGATGGCTGTGCCCACACTGGACGTCGACCTAGCCTGGCACACACACCAACTCAGCCCCTCGCGGTACTACGAATACAGCACGTCGAAGGTAAAATTTGGTGGTAATCGTATGCTCATCGACCACGACGACAAAGTCGACGAGGGAAAACTCTCCGACGGCTTTGCCTGGACCAGCAAGATGTACCGCCGTGTCACCGACGGCGGGTTATACAGCGAATGCACCTGCTGGTACTGCGAGGCGACACGAACACCAGACCTGTATAGCCGGTGGATCACCGTTCGCTCGGCCTCGGTCTCTCGCGCCCAAGCCGCTGCAGACCTCTTGCATGATCGCCCCGATGTCTCGTCCGACCCAAACAAGAACCCACATATCTCTTCGCACAACGCCGTCCGGCCAACAAACACGTACCACCGGGCTGAGCGGCATAACGCTTTGCAACGTGTGCGTCTACGGAGCGACTACGAAAAGGCTTCCCGGCGTGCTGAGAAGCGGCGTCAACGATCCAACTCCAAATCTTCTAATTATCAGGGCGACGCTTCAGCATACTACATGCCTTATGCATATGGGTACCCCATTGTTATGCCATATTATGCACCGTATATGATGGACCCGTCCATCAACTGTGATTCGTACGCATCTAACCCTGGCTGCATGAATGTCACTGTAGGCGCCGCTGGGAACTGTTGTTCCGGCACGTGTGGTAAGTTCTTCCTGCTCCCTTCTAGAAGTATTGAGTGAAACTGATTTGTCAAAAGGTGGTGCTGTAGCCGCAGGTGGCTGCGCAGGAGGCAGTGGTACTGGAGGGTGTGGTAAGTATCTTTATGAACCTCGACTTGCAATGGATTCTAATGTGTTCTCTATACAGGCGGATCAGGTGGTGGCGGTGGTAGGTCTTCTTTATTGCATCCGATAGACGGAATTACATACTGACTTCGTTATTTAGATGGCGGCGGCGGTGGCGGCGGTGGTTGCGGAGGAGGAGGTGGAGGAGGTGGAGGAGGCTGTGGTGGTGGAGGTGGCTGCTGATTCAAAGAACGATTGCGAATACCCCCTTGACTTTTTTTTGCTTTTGCTCTTCTATACTTATCGCCTTGGTTAATTCCTTGACTGCTTAATGAATTGGCTTATCAAATTATGCTTATTGCTCAACAGTCCATAGTATTTACGATCTGCTTGGTTTAGGCCTCACATCCAACGCTGATATACACACTCGGTGACTAGAAGATGACCAACATGGAACTTCTTTGCCTAGGCTTTCAGTTGTCATCACCCTTTTCGCTTAGTATTTCATCGACTTACATCTCAAGCAGGGGATGATCTCTTCCACTGGCCGTTGAACCCCACAGTTCAGTTGAAACCAAGCTGGTTGACATTGCTTCACCATTGTCCTGATCAATCTCTACAACTACTATACTTGGTGCTGAGCGCGTACTACCTTGCTGCTATGTATCTTATATCTTCAATATTTCTTTATAAGGAGCAATACAATATCCATCGGACTCACGCGCTACCTGGGATGAAACCTTTCTGATTACGACACCACAACAACGCAATCATCTCAAGTATCTTGGGCAAGAGAAGGGTTCTACACCAAAATACTTTTCGGATACCGGGGCGGTGATGGCATATTTCGAGATGAATGGCTGTAGTTCGATAGTAGGGTCTCAAATACTCCAACTGTTGGGGAACTTGGCCATCTTCAAAAAGAATCAAATGAGGCGATTAAGTGTACTAATACGGGGCGTAGAAACTTTAGAGAAAAGAGTTATTAGTGGTCCTTACTAGTAAAAGAAAAAGCTTATAACCTCTAGAGAAGGCATATAGAGAGATATGGTATAGAAAACTATATAGCATTCGCTTTAACCGGAAGAGGACGGAGAAGGGAGAGAGAGGAAGAGAGGGGAATGGAGACGTATCTTGACCTGGGATCGATAGATGCCGCATGGATGACCAGCTTGGCACATCCCAACACCTACATAAGGTATTAGAATGCAATTGAATCATTGGCAAGGAGAAATGCCTCATTCTATAACTGGCCTGAAAGAGGCAACGGCATAATCTCCCTAAAAGAGACCGGCACCCTAGTTTCTTTCGATCAGAACCCCTTCTACTTATTCATCCTAGATCTTCACCTATGACTTCACCTATGACGAAACATAGATTCGAAAATAATATGGACCACTACCCCGTAGTGGGGCTTTGCTTCCCCGCTTATGATGTACAGGTACACATACAGATATGGAAATGACCTGTAGATCTACATATGTACATTCTAGAACAATATACGTTCATGAGATATATTCATTGTATGCCCCGTCCGAGTCAATTGAGTACACAAGAGTGAGAGACCATAGGTGAGGAGATATAGAAGGGCGTGCGCAAGGGGATGGAGAGAAAAGAACGGACGAGATACACATGTGGGAAAAGTAGGAAAGCGGATCGTAGAATTTGTGGGTTTGGTATATATGTGCGAGGTGAGAGGCCAAAACAGAACGAGAAAAAAAAGACAAACGAGAAGCATAGAGGACATGAGAATGCTGTGTCATGTCCCTATGGATATAAGTATTTGATGGGGATGATAGGGATGATAAATATGCGCCGGCCATACTAAGTATGGCCATTTATGGGGGTTTCCAGAATAAGCTGTGGCAAAACAAAACACAAAAAAAAAAGCACAGAGCGGGCCAAGGAGACATGATTGATACATGGGATCTCAAAAGGTAAGTGAAAAAAAGGTCCCGAGAATTGCGAAACACTCCGTTGAGAAAAGAGCTCTGAACGATTATTGGACATTGGCTCTATTCTCCTTTTGGAGTGGTTGTAAACATGTAAAGAAGAAGGTTCAAAAAATTCGCTCAAGCTCGTACATGAGATCGTGAAGGGGTCGTCGTTCGGCATACGCCAATTTGACCCAAGGACTGGCTCGGAGGCGCGCAGGCACTGAGGGTACTGGGAGATTTATTCTTCCATGTGGCCAAAGACACCGCCATCGTCGTCATCGGCTGGTGCGGAGCGGTTACCAAAGTCCACATCGGCGTTGCGACGTTGACGAGATTTCTGGGCCTCGTCACCACCAGTTGTCCGGACTTCACGCTCATCCGACACCTTGTACGACAGCGACGGGTTGAGCGACCGGGACAAGAAAACATCGATGTTGGCCTCGGAGTCTCGGCGAGCCGCCTCTTCGAGGGGGCGCGATTGAGGGGAGTGGAGACCGTGGTTGATCGGGTGGCTGCTTGAGTCCAAGTAGCGCGCCGGCAGTGGAGGCACTGGTGGCACGTCAGGGGTCATGGAAACAGGCCCCGTGCGAGGAGTCCCGAAATTGCACAGGCCGATGGCCGCAGCAAGATCCGCCTCATCATCCTCGTGTAACCGGGTGTCCGCCGTCGACGGACGGGTGTCGATGCTCGAGTGGCGGAAGTGGGAGAAGGTAGGCGAGTGCAGCGGAGCACTCTCGTTGTACGAGCTGGAGGGAATAGACTGGTAGGAACGAGAGAAACCCGAGGCGTTGCTGACGCTGGGGCGTTTGGTCCACTGTGCCGGCACACCCGACATCTCGAAATCATCGTCTTCCTCCGAGTCCATTGGGGGTGGCGTGGTCTCAGCGGAACTGATTCCATCCCTCATTTCTGACAGGGCGTCCGGCGATCCAGATGACATTTCCGACTCCAACTCGGCGGACTCATCGGGTGGATCATCGTGGTTCATGGTGACCAAAACGGAGGCGGCCTCCAGCAGTTGAACCTGCTGATGCTTGGAGATGAGAAGCTTCGAAGTAACGGACCATGCTGGGTCGTGTTCCCACCTAAGATACCACGAAAAAAATACGTCAATCAAATGCTACTGAAAAAGGTGGAAGAAAGGGGGGGAGTGACGAAGGGGGAGCTGAATAACCACGAGGGCGACCTGCACAGAGCCGACATGGTGCATATTCCCGATCGAGCTAGAAGAAGACGGCCGAGCGGTAGGGGGGGATACACACATATGCTTAGACAAGCAGCTGCCATGCTTATACCCTTTCCCGCAGCGATCGCAACGTATGGCCGTCGAGGCACGCTTCCCTTCGGTCTTGAGTTGGGCACCCTCGCTGGCTCGGCGGTTCCGGTTCTTGAGCTTGCTATCGGAGTGGTCCGATCCCGGAGAACCTTTGCGGGCGACCGGTGATTCCTGGCTGGGGCTGTTGATGCTGCGGGAGAGGTAGGAGCTAAAGCCAGATACGTTTCCGACGGAGCCGGATTCCAGTCCCTTGCGGCCTCCTAGGCCGCGGCGGTGCGCACCCATGGGGAGCGAGGTAGCCTCTCCGCCCTCCATGGAGGCAGCAACTGCGGCGGCAGCGTTGGCAGCGGCGGTGGTGACACTCTTTCGGCGAGTTACACGGTGGTTTGGATTGAGAGCACCTAACGAGATCGAATGCGCGTGGTGTCGCTGGCTAGGGTTGGGGAGAGGACGCGACATGGACAATTCCTGTGAATGGCCAAGGGGGCCGCTACATTAGTATAGTCCCAAAAAAAAAAAAACCCCCCCTGTGTCAGGCGGAAATGCTGGACACATACCTTGAATGAGGCCATGGTAAGAATTGAGAGGAAGCTTCCAATGGAATTGACAACCCTCTAAGACACGAGTTGCCCTCAATTCAATGAAGGTGAAATAAGGCGGAGTTTCGGATGCGAGATGTATAGGTAGAGGAGAGCAATGAATGCGAGAATAAGAGGAAATGAAGAGAGAGTATGAAAGCGAATAAAAAAAAAAAGGTGAGGGAATCCAAAAAAGAAAGGTGGAAAGGAAAAAAAAAAAAGAGAAAGAAGGAGAGAAAGAGTCAGGGTCGGTATGAGCCAAAATCGCTCAGGTTTGCGGGGGCCTTTCCCTTTGAGCATGCGGGGGGAGGAGCGATCACCGGTCACACATACGAGATTGGTATTTTATTGCTAATATATTTGAAGATATGTATGCCTTTGGACTATATTATTGTCTATACTTTATAATGTTATATTCTATGTTCCCTAAGCATGTCCTCTATTGTGTGTTGTATCTGTGTGTGTGTCGCAATGCCTCTGATGCGATAGCAGAGTGGATCCACTTATCCGAATAAAGACGTGTAATAGTAACAGCTTCCAAGGTCGAATTCTAGCGAATTCTGATGGCGAATGTTGGGCATAATCTTCTTAAATATGTAATATGTGTCTTAATAGCCCTCGGATAGCGTTCCGTACAGGGGAAGGGCCTGCGCCCTGGTTCTGAAGGACAGTGCCATGGGTCCAGGCTCAACGGCCTATAAAATAATTATAATCCAATTCCCACTTGATATAACCTTGGAATGTCTTTTTATATGCAACATAACCTTGGAATAGAAGGAACACTTTTGCTTTTTTAAAAAAAAAAAAAAGTTGCCTGACGATCAACTACAACATAGTTTTAGGGTCACAAGATGGGACAGCTGGACTCCGGATTGAAGTACCAATCATGTTACTTGGTTCCCACCCGGGCAATGACGAATGTGTGTTGATAGGAGATGCCCGCAAACACTTGAACTAGTGACTTAGAAAGTACCGGTTTGCCATGTATCCAGATCACCTGCATAGCATCGACCGGTCTAGTGCTTGGAAGAGAGTGGATGGGTGGGGCGAATGATGTCATTGGGGCTTAGTAAACCACATCACCTGATACACTCCAGCTGATACGATGGATATAATTTATATACATAATGTAATTTCCCTTATGTACCCGTGGACATGCGCAGCATAAGAATATCTTTTGCTGTGGCAAAGAGGAATTGTGGCTTATCATCCTAACCCAAGACAGTCCCAAGGCGGCAGCACTGGAGGGCCCCTGGCCCCCGGGCCCCCGGGGGACAGGTGTCAGTTAGGTAATCGCTCAGGTCATCACATTCCTACGATCAGGTCGCGCCATCTCGCACGCTAACACCTGCAGGAGAGGATCATTACTCCGAGCGTAACACTATCCTCTTGCGCACGAGCACTTGGGAATTATTTTTGGCGCCCTTGAGTAGGAGGCCCCCTGATCTTTCTTGTTTCTGGCATATTCGCAAGGTTCCTGGCCCGCCATTCTTGATCTGCGGCTGAGACACTCGGGACATTCTTCTTGTCAGATTATTGGGTTAGAAAGTTGGATCGCCGTCGATCCAATTATTAGAGCTCCCGAGAGCTACCATAGCTATTGAATTTATTTCTCAATGGTTTTATCAAAACGGCAGTTCAATCAGCCCAGTGAATCTCATGCTCCATTATTATTGTTCTCCAATTTTGTGCTACCATGACGTGGTCGGACCTCCAGGGCTGAAAGGCGGAGGGAATCTCACCTAATCTAGCTATCAAACAATGCAAACAAATTTTGTCAACCCTTATCATCAAAATACGCGATAAGAGATGAAGATTGGGCAGACCGCGGGATGGATCGCAACGCCCTCACATAATAGGTCAATTGACTTTTCAAACATACAAACCTTGATGGTCTACTTCGTACACACCAGATTCAATCCCACCACACACTAACTCGAAAACCCCTCACAACCTGCAGCAATGCTCCATTCCCGTCTACGGCCTCTCCCCCGCCGCAACCACCCCACCAACACAACCAGCGCCCCAACGCCAGAATTCCAAAACGAAGACCTCGACAGCGAAACCGAGGAATCAGCCGAAGACCTCTTCGGTGCATTCCTCCCCCACCTTTTCCCAGATGATGCACCTTCCTTCCACGGCGACCCAGGCCAACACCTCCTCTACAGCTCCCCGCGCTATGGCGACCTCAACATCATGGTCCCCAGCTACCCAAGCTCAAGCGAGAAGCGCTCCGAGGAGATCGCCGCAGGCCAAGCCAAGACAGACGGCTCCGTGAACCAGGTCGACGAGGGACGCAAGCTCTTCGCGCATTTCCTCTGGAGCGCGGCGATGGTCGTTGCAGAGGGTGTCGAGGAAGCAGACACACCCACAGCACCAGGCGAAACAGAGACAGAAGCCCGGAGGGAAAACCGAGAGTTGTGGAGTATCAAGGGCGAGAGTGTGCTTGAGTTAGGCGCTGGTAAGTGGCAGTCCAGTTTTCATTAGCATTCGTCACAGTTTATACTGTACCCCCGCCTACCCCAACCAACCCAAACTAACGCATTCATATTATGTACAGGCGCCGCCCTCCCATCTGTAATCTGTGCCCTAGCCGGTGCCTCGAAGGTCGTGGCAACCGACCACCCCTCCTCGCCTGCGCTCAGCGGGGCAATCACTTTCAATATAAAGCACAACCTATCCAAGCGCACGCCTGAGGTCGTGAGAGAAGTGTCAATGCAACCGCACGAATGGGGTGTGTTGGATGACTCCTTCTCGACGGCGAATAAGGGTACCTTCACGCGAATTGTCGCGGCGGATTGTTTCTGGATGCGCTCGCAGCATGAGAACCTCGCCCGCACGATGCAGTGGTTCCTTTCGCCAGGTGGAAAGATGTGGGTTGTTGCTGGATTCCATACGGGGCGGGCGATTGTTGCCGGGTTCTTTGAGACGGTTCTTGAGAATGGGTTTGTGATTGAGAGGATCTATGAGAGGGATTTAGTTGGGAGGTTGGAGGATGGGGGTGAGATTCGCAGGGAATGGATTCCGATTAGGGAAGGGGAGGGTACGGAGAATCAGAAGAGGTGGTGTGTTATTGCTGTTTTGAAGAGGCGGGAGGAGTAGAGTTGTGGGTTGTGGTTCTGATGATGGTATTTAGTGCATTTTTGAGCGATATCTCAGTTCCTTTGCATCATGATATTACGAGCATAAAATAGATGAGCATAAAATAGAGGAATGAATGATTGAAATGTTTGAGTACTATATTCAGCATATGTCTATACTAGCTATCTGCACTACACCTTTTTTTTGCTTCGGGGTATAGTTCGTATGTTATTCCGCAGGTCCACGCAAGTATCAAGCATCCCCAAGTCTTTGAAAACACACCGTACAAACACCCTGTCCCTCGTGTCCTCCAAACCGGAACCGAGGATACTCAACACGGCCCCAAACTGCCAACCGATCCCCACTCGTCCGATCACCAGTGAACCAATGTACCAGCTCTTCCTCAGTCCAGTTGCAGGTCGTAACAATCAGGAACCCACCGCGCCGCACTAAACGCCGCGCAATATCCGGGTATCTCTCACAGACACGGGTTGTCTTTGCGTCATCGGCTAACGAAACGGCATCGAACGTCCCCTTGTCGAGCACGATGTCGAAGCCGCCTTCATGATAGGGGAACCAGGGGAGTGTTTCCTCAGAGGGAGAAGAGGGTGATACCTCGAGACCCGTCTCAGAAAGAAGAGCCTTAGAGCCGAGGATATCCCACTCCTCGAACTGGATGGATGTTTCTTGTTCCGGCAAGTCATTGGATCCAGCCTCTGTCTCTGTTTCAGCCTCAGCCCCAGCCTCAGCCTCTGATTCGTCTTCATCATCAGATTCATCCTCATCCTCAGAGTCACTCCGATAAGCCGAATGTCCTCTCACACGCTGCAACTCCCTCGCAAGCTCAACACTCTGGCGCGAGTAATCAACGCCAACAAGACGCCCCGCATACCCACCCCTCTTCCTAAGCAGCGCAAGCATGCTTCCATTCCCAGTACCAAGATCTAGAACACTTGGCTGGCGGGAGCCTTTCTTGTGCGCTGTATTGCGCGGCGACAACGGGAAGGACTTGTGCGTGAGGAAGTGAAGGACTTTTTGCGGGGCGTTATGTTCAGAGAACCAGGATGTGCCAGGGTCGTCTTCTTCATTTAGGTCGGAAGTGGTGGATGCGGCATCGTCATCATTTTGGTCTGACTTGCCATTGGCATTGGGGTCATTGCTGGGAGCTTCGTGCGAGATGTGGGCTAGCGTGCGGGCGTAGTAGGATTCCCAGCTAGGTTGGGATTGTTAGTTTGCGTTTGAAGAATTGGGTCAAATATCAGAAGCAGTTTATAGATCAATTAGTAGCCTAATTGATCTGTTGCTGCATTCGCTGTGGCTGATTCACTGTATACAACACTCTTGGAGGGGCAGAGCGGGGTTCATGGATTCCCGGTTCTTACGTCTAGCGAAGAAAGAGGGTGCGGCTGAAAAGGACACATACTAGTCTTTCGTGCCCAGCTCGCTGGGCGAGAGGTATGCCGGATGGGATTCTTCAGCCATTGTCGCGAGCGTGGAGATGATTGCGCAAGGAAAATTTTTGGGTTGGGGCCCTGGAGGTGTTCTCGGGGCTTATCGCTATCTCCGTTCTAATCAACAAACAGCCTGAAGCCGCGACAATTGGATCTACTAGAACTAGACTTGATTCTATGTGTTTACAGCTTTACGAGAAACAATTGAAGCTTAACGTCGATCTCTATTGTGAGAATGCGCAAATGGGGTATTTATCATGCCATCTTTCACCCGTAAACCAAGCATACCGTGAGTTCCAAGAGGAACCAAGAAGCTTCACCACACGAATGCTGAACACACAAAGAAAGGTACAGAAGTAAAGGCCTTGTCTGAGCGGCCAAGATGGAAAGATAGGAGAGTGACACGAAATAACCAAGCGAAAGTGAGACGAAAGCCGAGGGAAGCAAAAGAAACCCAAAAGAGATAGGACCCTCCGATAATATTACAGGTACCAGGCCGAAAGGACACAGACAGCTCTGTTTCGATCCTCCAAGGCCTGGCCTTGGTATCAAAATCTGTCCGTTTTGGACACCCGAGACGCCAGTGGTAAAAAAAAGAGAAAAAAGTTCAAGCGATGGTGACCAGTAATGGCGTTGGCGAGACCCGTAGGTTCAAATGACAAAAAGAAATATGCAGTAAGTATGCAAGTTGGAAAAAATGGAGATGAGCGACGGCAAAGCCTGCTTTGGTCATGAGTATCATCAAGTCAGTCATCTGATTGAGATGAGTGGAAGAAATTAATAAGTGAGAATAGAAGGGTTGCATTGACTCCCGCGCATGAGGCCGGGGGTGAGCAGATGGTCTTCAAATCAGAAAAGAGACATGGAAAATATGTCGGGTCGTGGAATCGTTTCAAGCCTGGTCTCAAAGGACACAAGGCGGAGAGATCACAAGAATTCATCAATGGATCTCATGATCAGGGGCTCGCCGCCGGATGGAGGCGAGCGGGGGTCTGCCGGTTCGGTGGCAAACCCCATGGCGCGGGGGATGGGAGATGAAGACAGGCCTGCGGAGCGATCGATCCGGTAGAATGATCGTGGTGCCAAAGGAGCTGGCGAGAGGAATTCGTTTGTCCTCGGTGAAAATAAACCACCATTGGAGTCTGGCGCATCACGCATAAAAACATGGGTCTGAACGAGCGGGTCACAGCTGCTGACGCTACGCGGCAACCCTCGTAGCCGGCCCGAGGCAGGTCCAACGGACTGAAACTTCTGTCGGAATGGGAGGGGTCGGGGGGACAGACTCCGCTTGGGCGAGTAGGACTTGAATTTTGTGTAGCTACCGTCGTCGCTCGTAGTGGGACGCATCGATTTCGTTTCTGGGATTGAGAGGCAGCTAGTTGAAGGTGCCTGTGTCAGTCCGCGGAATGGTCGGCTAGATTCGTTGGACGCTGGTCGCTCAGCTCGTGCAACTTGAGGCTCTGAGCTTCGTCGGCCGGTTTGGACGAACCACTCCTGAGGTGGGGGCTTAGAGGTAGATCCCCGCAGCAATTTAGAGCGGAAGTCTGTGAGCTGGTAGATGAGACTCATGTTCGGGCCAACCCACTGGCTGCGTCCCTTAACTGCTTCGTACATCGAGTTGAAATCTAGATGTCGGTTTTTGTACAATCCGTAGGCAATCACCAGCGATGCTGAGCGGCTGGCGCCCAGCTGGCAATGCACGAGGACTTTCTTTCCTTCAGCGATCCGGTCGTCAATCAGCTCACAAAGCGGGAGCAGGTCTTCGAGAATTTCAGAGTTGTGGTCCCAGCCGACATGCAGGTACTCCGGTAGTGAAGTTGTAGGAGTTGAGATAGTAGGAGTTGGCGACTCGGAGTCCGAGGGTTGGAATTCCCAGGCAGACTTAAAGGAGATTTCTGAAATCGCGGTCTGGGGCTCGCCGCGGGAGAAGCGTTTCGAGGCCATGGAGGCGTTCCGCCATGTGCTCATAACTGTATCATTCCGCTCGTCCTTGCTAGCACTGAACGGGTTCACCACTTCTTTGGCGACGTTGATCACCACGTCAAATTTGGACGCTTCTTCTGCTGTTGGTTCTAGATACAGGTAGACGCCAGAGTCGTGGATCCGGATAGGCCCATCCGGGTAGCCACGATCCTTCTTGCGGGTCGACTCGCGCGAGTCGAGGTGGTCATCCTCTTCTTCTAGGCCATCGAGAACACGGCGAGAGAAGCCAGATCCATCAACCGGCTTCAAGGTGACAGGGGACGTAGCATCATCAGAAGACGCGCTAGAAAAACGGCGCGTACCATGTGACATTAGCCGGGGAAGCTGCATACCTCCCCGTGGGGCGAACGAGGGCGATGCAATCGATGCAAGTGAAGGTGAGGATTCTGCGTGACGCAGGGATGGAGTTGGGGGCACGGCATCAGTGGCGATAGATAACGGTTTATTGAATGTGGGAGTCTGGATTGTGAGATTGGCGGCGCGTCGCCTCGTGCTCTTGCTCTTGGAAGGGATCGCGATGGGAGATGGCGGGGCATCAAAGTGGTGTTTTGACGTTGTCTCCAGCACCGATGCAGTAGCGATAGGTGGGCGAGATTGAGATGGGGGTGGCATTCGCAATGACAAGTTCTTGAGATTACGCGCTCGCCGATTTGGGGAGTCTGGGCGCGGATTATGAGGGGTCGGCTGCGACAGACGTGGTTCACCGACAGGCGCAAGGCGCGGAGGAAGCTCCACGGGCCGTGTGGAAGGTATGAACTTTGGGTATGATACAGACATGGCAGAGGGAGATTCCGGGGACGAGCTCGGAGAGATGTCACCCCCGCCGGGCGAATCAAAGGGCGAAATGGTGGTGGTCGGGGAGGACTCGGTGGATGTCGAGGTCATGGACGAAACACTTTCGCGGTGGGGGGAAGGAAGTAGGCGTGTATTGACAGGGACATTGGTTGGGTATTGAAGAGGGTGGATGGTGTTTGCTTCTTCTTTGTATCGCGGAAGGGGACCACCAAACACCGACATGAAAGATGGAAACGAGTCCGGAAAGGACGCCTGGCTAGTTTGCACTGGCATTGTCCGAGAAGTCGACACTGTGAAAGGAAGTTCCTTTCAATCCGGCTCTCAAGGGAGGCTAGAATGGCATTCGGGATCGAAGGTGCACTTGCTGCCTGCGCAAATGGGGTCTATATGGGGAAGGGCGTTTAGCTTGAATCTAGGGTAGCTGAAATGCAAGGGTTTGAGACTAATGATCCGGGCGATCATGCAAATCACAAGGGGAAAGGCATCCACACGATGCGCGATGTCATGAAGGAGAATGAGTGGGAACCAGGGTAATAAAGAGGTTGGTATATGAGAAGGCCGTCCACATACCAGATCACAAGGGTATGTGTATTTCTTTTCCAGTATGAGACAAGGAATATGAAGGAATGACTGGATGATAATCAATAGACCAAAGATCAAAGATCAAAGTTCAAAGTTCAAAGTTCAAAGACCAAAGATCAAAGGAATAATAATAATAAAAAAAGTATCAGAAGTGTAGAGAGTTGAAAGCGTATAGAATCAAAGCGGTTCCTCCAGGGAACTGGAAGGATAGGTAAAAGAGAGAGAGAGAGAAGCCGAATAGATGTAGAAAGGGAAAAAGGAAAGAAAGAAAAAAGAGAGTATACGGGTTTTGGACCCTTTGTGTTTTTATTTAGAGATCTCCGATTTCAAGTGTATGTATGTAGGGTAACATACATACAATACCAGAAAAGAGGGGATCCATTGGAAAGAGTTGAGGGGAGATAACACCAATCAATGTCCTTTGCTCTAATTTTAGCCGCCCTGGAATGTTTAGTCGGCGTCAAATCAACGTAAATGAGAGGCTCGAGTGTGTGCCTCTTCCCACCTTAGTTGTATATTATCTCTACATTGTTACAGGTATTTCATCTATGTTAAAAAAATAATATAGAATCATTCTTTTTACTTCTTTCCCCCGGGAAAATAATACTCAGGTCCCACATAGTCCCACAGCTGAGTATGTTCCTTAAAGTTGGATAAGATTGACAATCCCCGTGCAACTATCTGTTACACACGATACCAGACACACAAACGGCTTAATTCCGAGATGACAAGGGGGAGACATTGAGACGGGATATGGTGGAGATGTGCTGTGCGTAGTAACCCGAAAGGGAGAGAGTTGATTTGGTCAATTCCAAATTCACTTTCCCGTCTCTTGAAATACATGACTCCACTGTTTTCTATCTGAAGATACTACGGAGTACATGTTACATTATCAGGTCAACAGAACTTCCAAGGTTGGAATCACCGAATAAATTCGAACGGGATGGATGAACGGTGGGCTGGCTGACCCATGGATTGTGTGGACATGATACCATTGGACCATTCAGCATTTTAGGGGTAACCCCCAAATAGGTACAGAAAGATATCTGATTGGATGAGATCAAGAGGACAAGGCACAACCTGAAACCCCATGGATCTGGGTTTGGCGCTGTATGAAACACGCCAAATTGGCACTAGCGGGAAACTAGTGGGTCTTGGCGGTCACTTGTCTCGGGATGTTCTTGGCAGATACAAACCCGATGGCTTTAATCTATGTTTAAATTGCATCGAATCGTAGAAATATGTCCACGACCCCGGGGGTAGATTGTATATTACATCAGCCGAGATTATGCCCATGGAGGCTGAGGAGAGTTATTGAAGCTTGAGGCCCACTATGGTTTCGGGGAATGACGAATGATCGGCCTTTTCCACGTGGGTTGTCGTAACGATCCTGAAACTGGATCTTCGGTTGGCGATATGCCGCGTCTGGAGAGGATATTCCCTGTATATATCATCCTGTAACTACCGGAAAAAAAAATGGTTTGTGCCAGAAAAGTTCCAGATATATGAACCCCTTTCACTGGCGTGCAACGTATTTAAACGATTCTAAGGGAAATCCAGATGTTTCACCATGAACTCGCTTCTAAAAATAAACATCCTGAATTGCAATATGAGCAGCTTACGTTTGGTTGGAATTATTGTGATTCAGACTTGAAGGACACTTTCCATTGTTTTGTTGCATACAAGGACAGCTTGTTCAATTAGACTACTCTCATCTTCACTAGCCAGCCGTTGCAATATACAATAATGAAGAGCTCTCCAGATTATTCCACAAATAGATTTCTCTTTAATGATCAATCTAAAGAAAGTACCAAGTTGGTCCACCTACTTCGTATTAATTGTATGCTTAGGTAGTGGACTGCAGCAATACGCACATGACAATGGATTTGTCACGCAATGGATAAGTGGCAGTGCCCAGGTTGAAGGATTCGGCTTATATCACTATACATAGATCTAGACAAGGCGTTCTGTGCGGAGTAGGATTCCACGTTAAGTGAATATTGGCGAGACCACAAGGTATACTCCATACACTAGAACCTAGATCACTCAATACGCCCCTTTATTGGCATCACCTTGCTTGTCTCTTCTCTAAGTATAGCCCACTGTTCCAATGATTAATAAAAAGTAGTCGTAGTATTCCAAGGTTGAGGCAGTGCCACACTACGGAGTACCTCGCCACTTAATTGACCTTTGGAAGCAGGATAATTAATAGCATGAACAATTCACATGTACGGAGTAGCCAGAGTACTTTTCCTAGCCCAGGCTTCCCGCTTTCCATTTTAGTATTCATTTCAGAATAGATCGTTGTTTGTCGACACACTCAGCTTGACATATCTATATTGTAGATAGAGTGCAATGAAGGGTCCCTAAAAATCCAATCTTCTACTTCTTCCATTCCAAGGTTAAATGGTATCGTTGGGCAATGAAGTTACAATGGAATGGTTCTATATCAGAGTGATTAGTATGGTCAGCGAGATGTCCTACATTTGATCCAGACTTACTCTATAACCAGTTACCTATATGTAGATATTATAGACCAACCTTGGAAGTATACGTACTACATAACCCGAATGGAGCAGTTTGTTTTGAAACATGTGTCAAATTTAATTTGTTGGGTGGTTTCAAAGTATCCATGGTCTCTGCTGAGGTTGAACCATGGTTCCATCCTTTCGCTGTTGTTTTTTTTCTTCTTTTTTCATTCTTTCCCCCTTCCCCCCTCTCTTGTGTCTCTTGTTTTATATAGAATAGCCCTGGAGACTACTAGCATCTACCTAGGTATATACATATGCAGGTAGTGTCATCCAACATATCGGGTCTACAGAGACCATTCCATGTTATATCGTACCTTCCTCAATATTTCAGAGTCAAAAGGAACAGAATCAATCCAGTTTAACCAAAATCCATTAGAAAATAAAAAGCTCGTCAATATTGAAATTTTCCCACAGTGTATACCCGCATCCAATATTCTTTCTGACAGGTCAAGTCCACAAGTCCTTACTGACATCCTGCAATGACTATGAACTGTGCATATTTCCAATCCGTCGGAACTATACAATCCTAGCTTTCCCCAGAATCGTCAGGCTAGGAACACTTCAAAGGTACAAAGTACACCACCGTACTCTGTACAACGTACGGCGTACAGAGTACAAAGTACACCATGGCTGCAGGTTCCCGTGACCATTTGCAGCCCAACCAGGTCAATCAGCATCATGACTATGACCAACATTTCCAACAATTCCGACATTTTCCTCACTCGCGTTCTTTGTCGTTGCGCACTCGCTTCGATGGCCCCACCGATGAAACAGCCAATCTAACCACCAAACGCTCCTTATTGCACCGCGCCCGGCGATCCGTCTTAAGCTTCAGCTCACCCAGCCCCCAAGCTTCTGAATCTCCCCATGCCTCGAAGAGGCCCAGACAGGACGAATTACACCAAGATCGCCCTGATGTGAAAAGAACAATGCCATCAAGTCTGGCTTATTCTGGAGCGACCAGAACCCTAAATGAAAATGGTCGTTCTCTCAACGGCACTTTAAACGGTACTCATCGGGGGATCGAGGACAAGCCCTCGATGGACGAGGGCCGCCCAAAGAACGAGGATGTGTTCCTAAATATTGCGAGAGCTGACTCCGGCCGTCGCGATTCAGTAGGTCGCTCGGATTTTAGACGGGTAAGTGAGAATAATACAGGTCTTGGGCCGATCGCATTCCTGATCGCTCTGACATTCATCGACGTGCCATCCCCTTAATTCCTTCTTGCGACTTCCCGGTAGCTAACGAGAACATGTGGACTAGTCACGGCTTGGTTATTCTAGCCAAAGTCTACGGTCGCCAACGACAGAACAAACCCCCTCACCCGATCAGCGGTATAGCAATATCGATAACCCCTTGCATTTCCAACCCGATTCCCCCACTGCCCCCTACAGCTCCATCCACACTCCGGCGTCATCCGCCCACCCTCTAGATGATCCAGGTCGCTTCCGCTACAGTAGCCTGGGATCCGGTGCGCGATCTGCTGTCGGCGTTCCACGAAGCCGCTTCAGCCGCACAAGCCCAGAAACTTCACCGCGCACACCTTCTGCTGCCGAGGAGCAGGAGCATCGGTCCTCTCTAAACGATCCGCGCATCAATCGCCATTCGGGACTCTCTACAATCCGAAGCAGTCGGCAACCTTCTGCCTCTGAAGTGACCGGGCGCCCGCGAGCCGATACAGAACGATCGCGCGCTGATGGAACCGAGTCGACATTGTCCACCACGGCCCCATCCACCGTTTGGGACGAACTGGATGATCTCAAAGATCGGATCAAGAAGCTGGAACTGACAGGGAAGCTACCTCCATCATCTTCGGCGGCGATGTACACCCCTACCAATGAGAGACCGCGAACTGCAAACACAGCCGTTACCACCTTATCCTCCTCACCGAAGCAACGCCGCAAAGCCAGCGTCTCAACTGCAGATACCGAACATAGCCCGGTGCACCCAATTCTGCAATCCGCATTGGCCAAGGCAAAAGTTGTCTTGAGCGGTGACGTGTATACCTCCCTCGAAGCGACGATAACCGATGCTTTGAACCTTTCCACCGCGTTGGGCGTCAATGCCGCTCCATCGGGCACAGTCTCTGTTGTGAATGGAGGGTACAGCTCACCTGAACGACATGCCCGCCGCAAAGCGGACAGTGTGTGCCGTAGCCTGACCGAGCTTTGCCTAGCCTTGACGGATGAGCAGCTAAAGATTGTCCGACCGTCGTCAAGCCGTGAGACAGGCGTGCAGCCCCAATTATCCAATGGCACAGGGGTCGATGCTCGTATGTCCATACCAACGTATCAGCGAAATGGGAACCAGGAGCCCGAAGGAGTTGAGCGGCGCCATAGCACGACTCGCATCTCCAGTCACCTTGACACACGTCGAGCATCCCTGGTCAATGCCAGCCCTGGAAACACGACGGACATGAAGCAGAGTCCAAGCCAATCTCCCGGCATGTCTAACCCAGCCACTCGTCTCAATCGCATGTCAAGTTCCCTCCGCAGCCGCAGGCTGACCATTGGCGAGGAGATCGGGGAGACTGAAAGTCCGCATAGTCGTTCGGTCTCCAGGGCCAATACAGAAATTGGCACACCGCTTCCTGCGCAAGCCATACCCCCTCCTCGGCAACGATTCTCCCAAGGTCACACTGTGGCCCGCTCTATTTCCGGTGTGCAGCAGGACCAGAGCGGCTTCGGATACTCCCCCCGCTCCCCGCAATACCAATCATCACAGGTCCCCCAGCCGCAGGTGCAGCCATCACAACCTCGGACACCGACTCTCTCATCGAGTCTCTCATTCCGCCGAAGCTACATGAACCCTGCTACGTACACTCCTGCGACATCCCGCTCCAACATCCAGGCTGGGTCTCGCCGTTACGGCCTAACGCCTAGCTTCTCTTCCAATAATGTACAGGGATCTCCTGTCGAAGAAAGTCTACGCTCGCCCCAAATGGAGCCCTCCCAGACCAGAATTTCGACCCCATCGAGCAAAGTGGCAACAAGCTACACCCCAATCCAAACACCACGACTGCGAACGAACAGCTTGGGCGCACGGAGATTCGGTCTTCGAAACCGTGCCCCGGCTACCCCCAACAATGTAAACCTCGACGACAGCATCGATTAACGTCCACACCTCTCATATCCTCTGGCTGAACCCCACCAGCATGCATGCCAACCGTCGACATATCCGGTTACGTCACCTTCAACTCTTTTACGCAGCGACCCCCCATCTGATCATGTTTCTTTCGGACATCTGCTTCATCGGCGTTCTCGTTCCGTCTTTCAAAAAGACTTTGCTTGTCATATGCATGTCTCACCAGTCAGCATGGCAGTTGGAAGTTTTTCCTTCTGTCCACAGTTCCACACAACATTGCGCTATGCATTCTAACGAATTTCCTGTGTGTATTTGATTTGAGAAGCCCATCACGCTGCCAGAACATTACCCGTTCTATTCTATGTCTACATTTCTCTGAGAGATATTTGCCTGCGGGGAATGTCTCTGACAGCAAACACACCATCTCACCACCGTAGACTATCAACATGTCTATGTACTGGTGGATTGTCAAATTCATGTACAAAACCTACCATTGGCGGCGTCTCTTGTCCATAATACTCTACCGGGTGGCACTGTTTCATTTGTGTATCCCGCCCTAGGGTTTACATTTCCTTGTTTTTCTTGTTTATTCTTTTGTCGCTTCTCCCACTTCCTGCGGGCACGTTTTTGTATCTAGGTCTGTTGCCTGTAGGCTGGTCTTTTCTCTTATCTCTTTTGTCCCTGAGTCGCAGATGAGCATTTACATAATGATGGAATGGAATGAAATGAGATATTCAAGAGCTTTCTTTTTAATTCTATTGCTTTATAAGAATACATACGATCTAGGCATCTAGTGCGCTCTGCTTTCGTCTTATAAAAAGATCTAGTATCGTTGTCCACCAGCTTACAGTATAAATCAGTATAAATTGCTGACATCTTACCAGCTAACGATGAACCACTTGGACAGACCATCTATACATATGCACAAAGATATCCCGGCGAATAAACCGAAAGGTCCACTGCAGAGGATATACAAAAAATCACTTCCTTTCTAAACTATTTCATGAGATTCAGATAATGGTAATGTCCTATTGACATTTAACACTAGATATTCAAATCTGAGAACAGCCAAAGTGGTACGCAGGAAGGAAACACACGAAGGAAGGGTTATTAGGAGACAAGAAGCGTTTTTTTATTATTTAAAGGTTTCGTTTTCAAGGTCAAGATACACCGCAATAAGGAGAGGGTAGGGTTGGTAAAAGGTGGTAGCATTGCAGTAAGTCAGGGATAGGAAGAGAATGAGAACAGGGTACATAAGTCGAGGAGATAAGAGTGGGGGAAAGACAAGGATCAATATACCCCGCCAGCTACGAACTGGCAGCGTACAAGGTGGAACGATGACAAGGACAAGGAGGAGGTAGGGACCGGGATGGTGGCGGAGAGGTCTGTGGTTCAGGAGTCGGGGCAAAGACGGATTAGGGACATCACGGTGACAGTTCAGCTGGATGTGGGGAAGCGAGAGAGGGAATGGAGGCGTGAGGCTGTTGTGATTGACAAAGTTGAGGATTAGGATCGAGAGACATTCGGGTTGCGATGCAATTCAACGGACAATGGTCAATAAAGACCACACAAACTTGGTATCTAATACGCATGTGTACCCTCCATCCATCGCAGTGAACTTTTGTCTTTTTGTGAATAAGAGCGTCGTGTGGGTGAGGCTAGAACCTCAAAAGAGAGAGCCGAGGAAGAAGATCAAGAGAAAAAGACCTAAAGCAATTGGAATGAAATAGAGGAATAAAAAAGAAATAAAAGAAGCGCTAGCACATGACCGCCGCTGATCGTGACCGACAAGTCTTCAAGGAAGTCGTAAGGTCAGAGAACACAAAGGAGTCCTGCTAGGACCATCTCATCCGCACACACATACACCAGGGATGATCCCGAGGGATTTACTCCTGGGGAAGCTGGCTGCGGCGAGTCTTCTCGGCTTCCAGGTTCTCATAGAGAAGGTACAGGGCCTTTTCGTTAGCCTGAGCACTTCCCATGATGGTGAACATGCGCTCGCCGGTCTCGTCATGGGGAGCCTTGGCGATCGAAATCCGGGCGCCGGAGCTTCGGCGAATCTCTGTGATCTTGGTTCCGCCCCGGCCGATGATACATCCAACCATGTCCGCAGGAATGCTGATGTTCTGGGTCTGGATCTCTTCGCCATCTTCCGTAACCAAGGGGTAGCCGCGGTTTCCAGCATCGGAGTTAGATCGGCGGTTATAACCACCATCGCTGAAGTCGGCGCCGTTGCCGGTGCGGTTGTACTGGCGGCTGTTGGTGTTGCTCTGGTAGCCATTTCCAGCCGGGGGGTTGTTGTTGAGTGGCTGCGAGCCGCTGAGAGAAGCGCGCACGGCGGGGTTGTAGAGAACAGTGCCGGTGCCACGCTGCCAGTCGTCAAGCAGACATTTGCCGATTTCCCAGATGGCCTTCTCGATGCCCTCGGGGGTACCCTGGACCTCGACAATGCGCTCTGTGGATTGGGGGAGCATTTCCTTCTGCGCAACCATCCGAACACCCGATGCATCCTGAATGTGCTTGATCTTCAGGCCCTGTCGTCCAATGATGGTACCCATCTGGTTGTGGGAGATCAGAAGGCGAATGGCTGGAGAAAGTTAGAACAAGTTCGGGTCAGAATGAGAATTTTTGGAGTCTCTGTATGGGTTCCTTAGACTCCCCATACAGGAGAACAAGTCCAAAACAAAATATTGAGGGCGATAAAAAAAGATATCACTTACGGTGGGTCCCATTGTTAGAGACAATGCCGCCCATGCCCATCTGCGGGGCACCCTCCAAAAGACCCTTTGCCACGATCGCATAGGCGCGAGCCAGCGAGCGCAATTGACCAGTAATAGTCAGGACACGGTCATGGACACCGGGAACTACCTTGCTCACACCGGCTTTGACACCGGTCTCGTCGCGGAGATCGGCAACGTTCTTGCCAGCCTTGCCGATGATGACACCGGCCTCCTTAGAGGAAACAATAGCACGCAGAGTCAACTCAGCGATAGCATACTCCTCCTCAGTCTTAAGGGGGGCCTCGAGGTCACCCTGATCGGCGAGGTTGTCGTTGAAGTTATCGGTCATGGGCTCGTCCACGACGGTGGTTTGGTGAATCTCAGTAGAATCCATTTTTGTCGGTATCGATGGAGGTGGGAGAAGCGGTTAAGCGGTTTGAAAGGGTTAAGTGACTGGCAGGATAGAGGGTTTCTTTAAGACCGTACGGTCGCGAGATGCGGACGGTAGAGACTTCACACTCAAATAGTGGCAAAAGTCAGTTTTGTCATAGAGGCATAAAGAAGTGCGCATGTCATATGCAGCGATGCGCAAATTCTCAAGTGAGGAAATCCGTGCAATAGGATCAAACTGCTAGAAAGAGTGAGGACTCACAGAAGAGGGAGATAGGAAGTGGAGAAATGGATGGGAGGGGAAAGCGGCAGAATCTCAGATCAAGAGGGGGGAGAAGAAAGATGAATAGGAAAAGCACTCGATGAGAGAAAGGGGGAGAAGAGGAGAAGAGGAGAAGAAGAAAGGGAAGAAGGTGAGGAGGAGAGATGGGAGATGTGAGAGTTGAAGTTCAAGTGGTGAGGTTGAGTGTTTTGCTTTAAGCGGAGAACCCGAGTATGAAAATCTGCCTCTCTTTTTTTTTGGACCTCATCCTCTTTTCCTTAGATATATATTTTTTTCATGATTCTACTCTTCTATTGCTTTTTCTATTTAATACTACCTGTTTATAAATATGTTTTCTACTGATCAGCCTGGAATATCACTTTCTGCACCTTGTGCGCGTTGAATAGATCATATGCCTCCACTGCCTGCGAGAGCGGCATTATCTTCTCAGTCATGAACCCAAGCTTGTGTTGGTTCCTCTTGAGCACCTCCAGAGCCTGAGGAGCAACAGACCGAACAGGGCATCGCCCCATCTGGACAGTGAGGTTCTTGGAATAGGCATCATTGCCGTCCCAAGGAATCTGAGTACCTCATTAGCAACAATAATAAAACCAATACAGATCTACTTACCTCTCCATTGTGGACACCAACACTGCTAATAGTTCCCCAAGGCCGCAGAAGTTCGAAGCCAGTGCGCAAGGCAGGACTCAACCCGACAACTTCGATGACAGCATCAGCACCACGTCCATTTGTCAGCTCCTGAACACGCTTGTCTAGATCAGCCCGGTCCAGCTGGAAGTTCCATGGCTCAGCACCGAGCGACTTAGCAAGCTCCAGTCTCGACGGGACCGAGTCAACCGCCAGGATATGCTTGGGCTTGTACTCCAGGGCATTGATGAGCGCACAGAGACCGACAGGTCCACATCCAATCAGGACTACTGTCTGTTCAGCAATTTGCTCAGGAGTCGAGTTCTTGAATGCATTGTTGGCTGCGAACCAGCCTGTGGGGAAGATGTCTCCCATGAGCACCAGATACTTCTCGTCAACGCCCTCGGGGGCCTTCATGACGGAACCCTCAGCATTCGGGATTCGGGCCTGTGTAGTCTTAATATCAGCATATAGAGCAAAAGTATAATATGCTTAGAACCCACATATTCAGCCTGTCCACCGTCCAAGCTGTCACATCCAAAAAGGCCGTTCTTATCACAGCGAGAAGACCACCCTTGCTTACAGTAGAAGCATTCGCCGCTATCATGATGTCAGCGCAACGTTCGTACAATTGCACCACAAAACGAGCATATAGTGAGCATGCAACTTACCAGGAAGTAGTAAATGCAGTGACAACCCGGTCACCCTTCTGGAGAGTCTTTACGGCGCTGCCCATCTCAACAATCTCGCCCACGAACTCGTGGCCCATGATAAATCCTGTTCCTGCAGGCTCCACGCCACGGAACATGTGCAACTCACTATAGAATATTACGAAAATTAGCACGGATGGCCTTTTCGCAGAAAAAGTATAGAATCAATCTCACCTTCCACAAAGCGCAGTATATCCCACCTTGACTACAATATCCTCCGGGTTCTGCACCTTGGGAATAGGCCTCTGCTCGACAGCGACCTTATAGGGGCCGTGAAACACGACCGCCTGCATCATACCAGAATCCGAGGGAGCGGGAGTCATTCTGGCGATGGTCAATTTTCAATCTTTTTATAGAGAAATCCGGCAGTTGAAGTATGACAGCAGAGACCTACTTTGGGGGTTTGGTGGGGGAATCCGGAGTCAGCTACTGCAACGACAGTGGATATTTCAAGCCAAATTTCTTCAATATCGAACGACCAGATTGCAGACGGATCCGAATTGATTTAAAAAGAAATATATTGACTAATTTCTCCAGTCTCGGGCTTCTGTGCGAATACCTGGTGGGGCTGGTACACTACAGTGGTTGGGCTCCACTGAAAGCGCCGAAAATAGGATATAGATGGAGACGGCTGCTTTTGTAGTACGAAGATTTAGTTCTATATGATGTATGTGTTTGTGGGTATAGACAGAATAACTCCAAGGAGATTTGAGCTACTACTCCGAGCAGGCTATAAACTCTTATAAATGGTGGACGTTACGTGGAAGAGATATAAACCGTCAAACTGTATTCCAAGGACGCCTCAGGAAGGCTGACATGACACGTAAGTCCTGCTCTGCACATGTGTAGCTAGTTCCAGTTCCATCGGGCCCAAAGAAACCGAACAAAGAAAAGCAAATACTCCTTGTGACGCCTTTCGCAAACACCAAAGCTGAGCAAGAGAAAGCGGAAAAAGCAAGAATCAGTCTTGAAAAACACAAAAATACAAGAAATGCTCAGATAATGCAATCCCACTGTTATCATAAAACCGAGAACCGGCCTGTCAGGTGCACAAATCGAAGATCAAGATCAACACACATGAGGGCCATCGCATGAGTGGAAGGAAGTCTCCCTCCCACTAACAAACGACACAGAATAGCTCCTCCTCGAGGATGAACTTGCCCTCCTTGTATTTCTCACTGCTCTCGTATGCCTTGTCGTACTTCCATCCTACCGTTTCCTTGCACTGTCTGCAGGCGATGTCGCGTACGATATGTCGACCTGTTGTCATGCTGCGTTCTACAGCTTCGCCTTGCGTGACGTTGACGACTTTATTGAAGAGGTATGCTTTCCCGTGTTGGCCTCGGAAGTTCTAGGGAGTGGAAAGTCATGGGTCAGCAACAGGTTATTCAGAGCAGGAAGTATGTAGGAAGAATAGGAGTTGAGGGATTTTCATACCCGACTCATGATATCATTAAAGTCTGCCAGATGAGTCTTGCATCCCTTACACCCAAAGATCTTGTTGGCAGTCAAGTAGACATTGTATGAGAGACCCATGGTGGCTGTAGTTATGCGGTTATTGCCGGACAGGCGTAGGATGCGTTTCTGCGGGGGTCTGAGATGGAAGTCGAGGTCCTGAGAGGTGAGTTCGAAGCAGCAGAGAGCTGACACTTGAATCTAGAGGGGATATGTGGTCCGATTATTGAAAAGGGGCAATGTGTTTGCCTGCTTTCTTCGATTTGGAGTAGTTGGCCCCGCCCTGGCTTCGACTTGGGAGGACCTATGCTGTAGTCCTGCTGTTGACCTCCTAAATGGATTTGAGACTTTATGTTCAGGTAAACGTAGGGTTTTTCGATTTATGATAAAGTTTCCCTGGCCCTTGCAGAGGGTCTATGGAAGGAGGAGGATGTGTCGGACTTCAGCCCTGGAGCTGACGTGTAGACGATAAGCCGATAAGCGGATCGGAAGGAGATTCGGGATTCACGGAGACAGCAGGGCAGCGGGTTAAAGGCTTTTTAGGAAGATCAGCTCAGGGTGTACAGAGGTTTCAAGAGTCAAGTGAGAGTTGAGCATGAGCTCGGAGGCTTAATTACTCTGCCTAAGGCCCCGCACCGGTTCTGGATTGTTGAACTCAAATCCCGAGTTTCCTTGTCACGTTATACTTCGGAGACGTTTAGATCCCACTACAGGTGATGGATATACGAGAATGCACTAGTTATAGGCAAAGTTGTTTTTGGGGTAATCATCAATTCAGAATCCCTGTACATAAGGCGCCGGAAACATGCGCTCCTCCAAGTATGCTCAAATGACCAAATTACATGTCTGAATCAGCTGCATTCTATTTTTTTTACAGAAAGTCCTTTCACATCTCTCTGCTTCACTCGTAGTCCTTCACGTAACGACCAGGCAGTTCAACGTCCCACATAGGTCGCTCCACCACTGCGACTTCCAGCATCCCAGTCGGGGTCTGGTCGTCGGAACCGTCATCCGACAAGGTGTTGAGAGGCACAATGCCGAGGATATCACGGTATTTATAGGTGTGCCACCACCGACGTGTAGGCTGAGCTGAGGCACCATTAGCCTCTACCAGCTGCTTTTTCGAAGTATCGCCAGTGTGCTTCTGTGATCCCTTCTGTGGGATTTCAGTTTCGACCGCAGTTCCATCTCCACGTCGTAGACGGGCGAGGGTTGTCTCATTGGTGGCTGCAAAGGTCTCGTCATACTCGTAGGCCTCGTCATCTTCGCCTGGGACACGGGGACGTTCCTTGTCCAGCGAGATCCATTCTCCCTGTGATTCATCGCTACCGACGATCTTGCGGACCTTGGTGCCAAAGTGGACATCCATCTGTGACTGGGGGATTCGATCACCGGCACCGGTGTTGTGTTTCCTGCGCTCGTCTTCGTCGTCGTCGAGGGCTTCGCGCTTGCGCTTCGATGCCTTGGCAAGCTGACCCGCGGTCTTGCCCTCTTCGGCCCCAGCTTCAGCCTCCTCGGGGGAGGGGAAGTCTTGGAGCAGATCAAACATCCACAGCCACGATGCTCCGTAGAGCCAGAGGCGCTCGCGGCCCTCAAAGAGATCCCACATGCAGCCCATGGCTCGGTCCTTAACGCCTCGGAACTCTGCGGGGAGGTATGCCTTAGGATTGCGTCTGGACCAGTCGGACAACTTGCCATCCCGAGCATCAAATTCGATGAGCTGATGCTCACTTGTGAGGACCATCAGACGATCTTCGCTAGACTGATGCGTGCCATTGGCAACGAGATTTTGTGTGGGGGCGGACTTGGGACGGAAGGACAACAAAGTGATGCCGGACTTCATACGAGGGATTGGTGATTCGGTGGCAGCGGTAGTCCAGCGCTCGCCTTCAATCACGACGTCCTCGTCCTCATCATCAGAGGAATCATCGTCGGACTCCGAGGCTCCGCTACGTTTGACCGCGCCGTTTGCGGGTCCTGTCGCTGTGCCTAGCACCCAGGTGTCGACACAACCAGAGATATCACCACTCGCCAGAACCTTGCTGTCATCTGAAAACACCACAGATCGTATCGTTCTCTCGTAGTCACCCAATGTGCCGTGGGATGCCTTTTCGTGTCGTACATGACGTGTGGCTCTCTTGAGCTTTGCAAACTGTGGCACCACCTGAGGCTTCTCATTAGATACTGAGGTTGGCTGGATTCTGGCCATGTAGATGTCGCTGTTGGGGCGAACAATTGAAAGCCATCGGCCGTCGGGGGAAATGGTGACAAGGCGAGCACCTTCATCGGAAAGAACCTTGGGTACGTCGATCTTCTGGATGCGGAGAGCACCCTTCTCATCGCCCTTTCTCCGGCGGAGAGAAAACAGCTTGACCTCAGCAATAGTTGCAACAGCGAGCGTCTTGCCATCTGAGGACAACATCGCCGATGAGATGTTTTCCTCGCCCTGGATCAGAACCTTACCAACGAGTCTATGCCGTTGGCCATCGATGTTCTCATGCAAAGACGCAGGGCCACGAGACACACGCCACAAGCTCACTTCCCGGTCCCAGAAACTCATAACCAAACGAGACGAGGGTGCGGAGGTAAGCTGGGGAATCTGCGGGAGGCTCGAAAGCTTGCGGTGGTGCTCCTTTCCGAATTCACGAAGGGGAAGAACGATCGGTGTAGCATCAGGACCTTTGAACAAAACAAGTTAGCATTGCTAGAACACCTCAAATCCATAGTGGGCCAAGGTTAACGTACCTCCAGACACAGCGATACTAATATCCTTTGTCTCATAGACAGCAAATGTCTTGACGTCGTGGGTGTGGTAGCGACGATGCATAATCTCAGCCCAGCGACCCTTCTTGTCGCCCTTCTCGCCCTCCTTCTTGCGGTAGACGACCGTCCTCTGGTCGGCACCGCCACTGACAACAGTATCTCCATTGGCACTCACTGCGATATCAAGAGTATCGGCAAGATGGCCCTGTATCCGTTGAACGAGAGAGTAGTTCTTTGCATCCCAGAACCGAATTTCACCAGCTGAGTCACCGGAAACGATCGTGCCATCCGGCAGACATTTCACCGACCAAACCAACAATTCCTTTGGGCCACCCGTGGGACCTTTGCCGAGAGAGATTGTTCGCAGCATCTGACCAGTGCGAATGTCAAAGAGACGAATAGAACTATCGGCATAACCTGCGACAATGGTATGGCGGTTCTGGAAGGTAACGCTAAGGACGCGCGCTCTTTTCGTTGAGGGACGCATCAGGCGCAAAAATTTGAGCTCGTTATCGGCAGTAGACAAGATGACAATTGACCCATCCGCACATCCTGCGGCGAGGTGCTGACCGGTGTACTCGCCCTCGGTGGGAGGAAGCACTTTTCCGTCTTTGCCCTTGGTCGCCTGCCAGCGGGGCTGCGCAGCAAGACACCAAATCTCTCCATAGTTTCCACTAGAGTGGCGCAGCGGGCGGCCATTCTCAAGATCCCATTCGGTGACGGCCGTGGAGTATCCAATGCTAAACAGACGCAGCTTTCCGGGTAATTTGGTGCCGTCGGGCCCATCCTCCTGGGGATCCAGAGTCCATGCAAGACCTTCAATGCTTCTATCCTTGCCTCCACGCATCACAGTCTCCTGGAACCAGGCGCCGCGCATCGGGTTCCATATTTCAATATCACCGTTAGCACGACCGATCGCGAGTCGGAGAGTTGGTACGCCGCGTCCAGCTAGATCTGCTGACGGGGGATGCGAGAATGCAAGTGCATTGATCGCCTGTGGATTATAAGAAACGAAACGGCAACGGTGGATATCCATGATTGGCGATGTGGACTTCGAAGCCAGAGAGCTCGTTTCGGATGGTTTTGAACGGTGTGCAAATCAGAGATGGGGGTGCTGAAGATCAATTCAGAAATAATTCAGCTCGGGCTGTAAAACCAGCCTTTAGACAGTCATCTCTTGAACACAAATAGGTGATTATAGCGTGGTGCCAAAGCTTTCCTTGCGACTGTTGCGCTGCCGCTTTTTTTTTCTGTAGATAATTTTTAGCGGCCGGAATATCTTGGCTAGTCGGGTATGTTTCCCCGAGATCACGTGTGGAGCATCGAACATGGTGGTGCCTTATGAATCAGGCGACAATATGGATGCATGAACGTTCATGAGAAGAGCAAATAATAACGACGATATATCTGTAGCTAAAAGTTATTCCGTCAATTGGATGTCCTTTTGAGGTACTTTTATTTCCAATATTGAAATGCAAAGGTCTCCCGAGGTCGATTAGTACCTAGATACATGTCAGGGCCTAGATTCCATTGGAGTATACACTTGTACAAGGACAGGATTGACACAAGTGTGGTCGAGTAAATTCAAAAAGTACATAGTCAACAGCCACTATATGTCCAATGCCTTGCTTGTCCAACAAAAAGAAGTTGTTGTAACATTGTATTTGTGCAACACCACGAACGTTGTGGGATACCTTCAAATTCCCTATTGCAACTCCTCATCATAGAAAGAGACGAGCGAAACGCAAATCGACCAACCGACAAGAAGCGGTCAACAACTCTACCATCCATCCACATATTGATCAGGAAGCGGTTAACGTTCAGCAACCTGGCTTGGTCATGTTGCAGTCTGGATCGGGGGTGTGCAGCAGCAGCACCATTGGATACCCGAGCAAGTTTCGTCAGTGTAAACTAAACACTCGGGCTGTAGCCCAGTTTTAAATTTCAGTGGCGTGGCATGAACTGCATTGTGCTCTTCGAGGCCATTGTATATGGAGATTAACATGCCAGATGTAAGGGAGCCAGCGGGAAATCTGCCCCAAAAATGCAGGCTCAGCTGAGTATGTCAGCGCGAGTAGACAGATTGCGCCACGAGCAACGCAGTCTGCAACCAATAGTAACATGCAATCGCGAATGGGTGCGACAAGTCCCTATCAGGATCTCCTTCAACAGAGGGCAGAGACGGTCCATCGACGGGCTGCCACGTCAGAAGCAGCCATCATTTAGCTTGTCATAGTCCGTTGTGGCTGATTGGCAAGAAACCTGTTATGCTTACTTATGTATCGGACTCCTGAGATACTTGCAGATAAACCCTCTGATAGGCCGTGATGATACTTGGCTCTGCAGCGGGCAACCCACATCTAATCGCCATGACAACATATTACTGGATGAGCATGAACAAGCTAAAAGACAGGGGAGGCTGAGATATCGTCATTGGAGGATCTCGAATCAAAGTGCGGATAAGGCGACCTCGGACAGACCGGTATATGACATCTGCTGCGGGGGGCCTGATAGAGCAGTCCAAATCAGCCGTCAGTCTTGGGCAATCTCGATTCTTGGGCAATTTCAAGTGTGTGCTGTATTTCCACGCCGTCATGAAACAGTCAGTTCCAAGGGGAAATAGCTTTAATTGTGCGGGTTGCATAGCGGGATTCCACTTGGTTACAGGCAACTGCTGCGGGGGTGGCTATTTGGAGACCCCCCTGTCAGCATGGGCTCGGACCCAACTCGGGCGCATGGGATCGATAGTTCGCTTGGGTTTGCTGATATCAGGGAATATACACTTGTCCTGTCATTTTATTGATTCGAACGATTACGTTCATGTTGTTTTTCCGTGCAAAGTACTCCGTAGCCTTTCGTCTGTTCATCCTCCAGGCTTGCGGTTGGCTTGGAGGGGATTGTTGCAACCCTAGCTCATCGAACTCAATTGGATTGTTCCTCGTATGCTTGTGCTTGATTATCTCTATTTTCATAAGAGGCTGATGCAACTAGCTCCACATATGCGTATTGGATCGAGCTGAGATGGGCCGCGATCTTTGAGGACATCCCGTCCACGGTGGAACTCTTCGGCAGACCCGATAGTCCGTCGTATGGCGTACATTGTGGTCTTGTGGAATCGCGTGCTGTTGTGTCGGAGATGGCGAGGTCATAGACAGGGCTTAATGAACTTACCTATATTATAGTTCACGATTAGCTCCAATTTGGCTTTCATCGCACCTTCCCCATTGGACCCGACTTGGTAAGATTGAGGGTACCTAGGTATCTAGGCCAGTGTTTAGATTTGCCTCAAGTTACAAAGATACCGGATCGGCAATATAAACACAATGACAATCCGAAGTGATGAACACGAGAGTTTGCTGGGATTCGCGCCAAGATGGGAAGCAAATTGTCTCGTTAAGCGGAGGGTGACCGAGCGGCCAACCCCATGTGCCTGTTCCAGGCCCACTGGAGAAGGAAAATCAACTATTCCCTCGTTTGGACAAATATTATTGACACAGAGAGAGACATGCAGTCGACTGGAAACTTTGGACTCAGTTTGCACATGTTTCTGCAAACTTCGGAAGATTGCACTTTAAAGCGAACGCGCAATACAGAAAGCGAGAAGTGTGGGACGCGAGCCTGGAAATGACGGCATAGACTAAAGTATGCCGAGTACCACTAAGGTACTAAAAGACATATGGCGCACAAGTGTAATTCGTATTCTTGTGCCTGCAGGAAGTTTTGTTTAATGAGCGTTCTTTAGGGTTGAGTAGAAAGTTCGCATCAGGTTAGTTATGTATCATGAAAAGTACTCCGTACAAGGCAACAAATAATGTACAAATCAATTTATCCTCTTTCGGACAGGCTTAGAGGTACTCCGTACATTTGTATGTTGTACAGTAACCGGTACATTGAAATTGTAAAGCTTCAAAGTGGGCCTTTTTTCTTTCCTTACACTACGGGTATTCTCCACTCTGTTTTATGCCCTAAGCCCCGTCAGGTTTAGCGACGTAACAGCCTTGCAGCTCCGATTACCTTTGCTGTCTGAAATGGAGAAGTCTTGCCAAAAAAAATATGTGATAGAGTAGGTCAATTGATGCAATTGATGCAATTGGGGATAATTCAATGTCATCCTATAGTCCTTGGCTATGAAGATGGCCAGATTATGAGAGACAGTGGGGATTTCAAATTGAATTGAAAGAAAGCTAAAGAAAAGGGGCGGGGAATAGGGGAGTGAAAAAAACAGATTAACCATGGTTTGAGCCTCCGCTGCCCCAGTCAAGCTGTGTATGTTGAACCATTCCTAAATGGGCCATATTGTCCCGAATCGCGTTAATAATTAGCATCGTCCTTATTCGCGGTGGAGCTTCACAAGGATTCTGTAGGATGCCAGGCTGAAGAATTGATTCATGAGAGCCTTGAAAAATGGCAGTAAGCATGTTTTGAAGAAGTGAAAATACTACAGGAATACGCGAAAATCTATGTATCCTACGGAGATACTTTCGGAAATTAGGTGTACGTAAATCCGAGGCACTGCTTTATACTAGCTGCAGGGCTTGCGAGCATTTCATATGAACTTCATGCACCTTGTCAACTACCCTGAAAATTTCTCCAACTTAAGGATCAAGAAGAAGAAAAAAAACCTGTGTAGTGGAGCTGTTTCCACTAAACACAGAAAAACCTTTATGACATTTATATAACTCCCCGCAGAGGGGCCACGAAACATCAATTTTTCACCGGTCAAGAACGCAGTTTTTTTGCCCGATCGCACAGAAATAAATATGGGTTTCGCTGCGACATACAACCCCGAAGAGTCTCATACGGGAATCAATGTATTTAGATATCTAGACAGTAATTCAGCTCCAATGCTAAGATAGCTAAGGGATATCTAAACAGTATTAAGGTTCTAAGTCTATCTAGAGAATATAGCGAGAGATGATTATGCATAGCCACTACTCTATACGTTAGAAACCTCTCCGAGAACAGAGCCACAAATTTCAACCTCTTTGTGCGTACGGTATCCGCGCTATCCGTCAACAGCCACAACTCCGCCACCTGTGTTTTTTCACATCGAGACGGACAGAGGAGCGGAAACTGTTAAACATGGCGGGGCGGAAGAAACCGTGAGCTTGTACATATGTACAACGTACATTAGAACCATGTTGCAATAGACACTGGACAGTGAACAGGAAAGAAAAAGCGTGGAGATTCGATCTTTTCCAATAGTACCATGGTTGATATATCCCGGCACGGCCCTGGGATAACCGTTGTTGAATGTGGAGTTTTGGTTACGTCCACAGGTACGGTGTACTCGGAATTTGGGATGATTCCATGGTTCAGCAGGCGTGTGATGTCGGAGGGCATTACCTAGGTAATTTGGAGTGGAATGGATCCATCTGCGAGGCGAGAAAAAAAAAAGATCGGATCCCACACTTACGTTTTTATCGGGTTCTTTGCTAGGTTTTTCTCTGGGCTGTATTATACTAAGGTGTTTTGTATAGACTACTGCAAGTCTCGGGAACTGGTCTCTAAATACTCTGTATGGAGTATGGAATGTATCGATATGGGATATCAAGTATGAATCAGATAGTGCTTGTATTGTGTGTATAGAACGCACATAGTATCCACTTGGAATGACTACCCGACATATCAGTTGCCAGTGATAATATTTGATGCAGAACATGCAGCTGGTACATGATTTGATGAGATATCTAATATCCAGTCCACACCGCTCTCCAGCAAACGAGTAATGTCTGGGAAAGAGCATTGATCTACATTGGAAGCAGAAATCCGAGTGGATGGCTTGAGGTCTCCTTGGACTAGTTAATGAACTCCCTGTGAAGTATGGAATACAATATGTATAGTGGAAGGATCTTCCCCTTACAGAACAAAAGATCCACATCGCAAGCTGCAAGTGAAATAAGCAACGTGGAGGGAAATCCAAGGGTTATATTACTGTCTCTTGATTTGCAGAGTCATGAGCAAGGGAAATCACATCTATAGACGGTGCCCTGTCAGGGCGAGATCTTGCAGCAACCGGGGAAACGAACCGATGGCAGGTTATTTAAGTTTTTGCTCATTTATAGACAAGTGGACACCTCCTTGGAGACTTGACTTGCATTGCTGGGTGTTTGCCAGTGAGGCTTTACTTACCAAACACCTAACAAACAAGGATCAAGTACCCCTTGAATTTACTCAAGCGCGTCTAACAAGCAATTCTCTATCTAGAGCACCATGTTGAGCAAAATGATTGTGATTAAAATAAACAAGAGGTTCAAACTCATACCCAAAAATAGATAAAATTGCTACTTTCCGCCACGGGAAGCTAAAGAGTCTGGGGCCAATAGGCGTCCCAGACCAAGTCCAGACTCAAATTATGCCCATCGCCATATGCGCGCGCTTTAAACTTGCTGTCATCCTCTAGAGTGCTTCATGCTGTCGGTACTTGAAACATGGGGCGAGACACGAATCAGGAGACAAATATGGCTAGACTGGCATGCAGATTTTCAAGGCTCTTCTTCCCCTTTTCAGGAGGCACAGTACCGCGCCGGCTGGGCGCATCGGAAGTACATCGGCCATCTACTAGTTTCCAAGCCATCTGGGCAAGCTCTGTGGACACATGTACGGGGTACGGTAACTAACTAACTAGCTAACTAGTTATGAGACTGTGCGCTGCAGTGGGATGTACCCCATTGCGACCACGTAATTGCTGCATGGGCCTGGTCTGTCCACGGAGCCCCTTTTCTCTTGGACCGCTTTACAAATCTAGCGCTTAGCCTAATTGTTTCTTTCAGTTTGCCTTCCTAGGAGGAGTTGGGTGACTTTACGGAGTATGGAGTATCAGGTCTGTGTCCAAGTAGGTGGTATGACAGAAACCCAATAGTTGTCCTTTGATATTATTACCATTTGCCGGGTAGTACAGGTCATCCCCGCCATTTGGGGGCGAACTACTTACGGAGTGAGTAGCCAACAGTAGTAGTTATACAAATTAAGTACATAGTGCTATCCACTGACATGGACAATGTATGCAAATTAACTGGAATCCCGGAGTACCGAAGTGCATAAGCAGGCATTTGCCTAAAATGAGAGTCTTTGGATAGGGGGTGTCTAAATTTGATTGACGCAATATACGCAGACTCATCCAAGGCAAAGCCCTCCACAGGTGTGAGGGCTAGACGTGTTCCTATTATGCAGCTGACATATTATTAAGAATGAAGAGGTGCCCTGTACAATTATCTGGAGTACGCATTATTGCAATCAAAGCCTTGGCGATTAATTTAACTGCTGGTATGGTACGGAGACAATTACAGTCCCTGGCATGCTATGAGATGTAAGTTTTTAAGAAACAAAATTTGTAGACCAAGTGTGTTTGTGATCTGCTTCTGCATATTAGGCGTGTCTATCACTCAGTTTTCTTATTTGAGAGTCCCTTGCTTTAATACGTTGTACAGTCCCGACAGCACCCTTTAATGGTCATCGCTTATCTCTTCCCCCTTTCTTTCCCTGCTAGTCTTGCACGAGGCGGGAATACTCCGTTGTCGATAGGGGGATCATTGCTTCGGCAACTGTCATCCCCGGTTTAAATGCAAAGGCGCCAACGAATGATTTAATCTGCATTCCTTGAACAAGTTGAGCAAGTGAAACGTACGGGTCCACTACTCCGTGCTAGATGCTAGATGTAGAGCCTTCTGCGCTGTCGTCTATCAAGCTGCACTACTCCGTACTCCGAAATAGTATCGACCGATCAATTGTATTCGTTTACTTCGATGTGTACGCATCCTGTGCATGTCATTGAGAAACGGCTGAGTCGCATGATGATCGATACTCCTGTGGATATGCGATCAATTGAGTGGCTGAGGTTAATCCCTGAGGGACCTTACAGAGCACACTCATTCAACCTGTGCATTATAAGGGGATGAGGCAAGGGGACACAGTGAAAATTTCCGAGTCGCAATTGTGTAGAGCAACAGGCATATGATTTGCAGAGATCGACCTGGAGAATTTACGGGTCCAGTAAAGAGTGGCATTCTCACGGCTAAACCAGTCAATCCTGACGAGTCCAGACGTCTACAAACCTTATCTCGGGTCGAGAAGCTGGGGACGAATCAAGTGCATTTCCAGTGGTGTCACAGGCGGCAGATGTCGTAGGGATGAGTTGTAAAGTGATACTCTGTACGGAGTACGGAGTACAAAAAACTAACTTACACACGCGTTGATCCAAACGGGAAATATGGATTAATTAAAGTCCAACGAGAAAGAGAAGAATTAGGAAACGTGGAGGCCCAAATTACCGAGAACCTGCTTTTGCGACCGGAAAACCGAACCTTGGAAAATATCCCCACATGGACTGAGATCCCTGCAAGACAAAGGAGGCTCGGGTTATCAATTTAGGATGGAAAGTCCAGCTGAGGTACGCGAATGGGGAAAGCACGCGAGATGAAGTCAACAGGGCAATCCCAGGGCTTCTGGACCAGTCAGCGCCCACAGGCCGCGGGAGACCCTGGAACGCGCGACCGTATCGGAGGCTTCGTACGGAGTAAGAGGGCCAGCCCATTGCAGCACTAGTAACCAAGGTGCTGGATGACGAGCCAACAATGGCTGAGGATTGGCCTTAATACTTGTCGATCAGGAGCTTTTTCGGGGCCGGAACTCGAGATTGTCCTTGGCCCCATTTATCGTTTTTTTTGTCTTTATTTGTCTTTTAGAATAGGAAAATGCAATAGAATTTGAGAGAATTCTAGATATACTGTACAAAAAACATTTAAGACGAAATGGTAGGGGAAAATGGGCTTTGAAAGGTTGAAATGTCTCGGTACGGAGATCTCTCGAAGAAACACCTTCAAATTACTAGTCTAGGAAAATGACTGGGTCGCGGCATACGGTTGAAAACGCAATGTTCGAGTTTCAAAGTTATAGCATATGCAACCTCATAGACACATCGAATTTCTGGAAATAGCCCTGGAGAAACATGAATACTCGAATAATTAAGTAATTTTGGTTCCTTTAGTCAACAACTTGAGTGCATATATGAATATCCTAATTTGGTATATCTGTTCCTGTGCCTGTACCTGTACCTGTTCCCACGTTTGAAATCTCCCGAACTTTGAAATAACAGTTTCAAGCAGGTTTGCAGGTTTCAACTCCTGTCTTATGTCCTTGCAGAGGAGAAGCCCTAGTTACCTATCAAAATTACCGATCTTCCCCTGGGATCTGTAAATTAAACTGTAAATTTACTGTACGCCGTACGCTAACCTTCAGCCTCCACTCTGTGTCTCGTGGATTACCATACAACCAGCTCCTCTCCGGGTGTATCGCCGTGGCTTCTCAGCTTCTTAACCTCTTCCTTTTCCTTCTTTCTCTTCCCACACCCGCCTGGAGAGAGAAAGTCAAAAACCTCCTCCTTGTACCTCTCTCCTTCTCTTCTTCATACCCTTTTCTCTTCCTCTTTTTCCCTCTCCTCCCCCCTGCCAATCTTGCGGAGACCCCAGAGTCTGGTCTACTGGCTGAGTTACGGTTCGACGACATTCCAGTCGACGCAATCTCATTCAGCCCGCTGCACTAGCACTCAAGTCGAGTCGATTTTACCATCGCACTTGACCTTCCAAATCGACGTTTGTTAGCTCAAACGGCGATCCTTCGTCCTTGTCCGCCCGGTGCCTCCCTGATCCTCGGACCTTTGACGATTTGGACCCTCCTGTTCCAGCTCCTGCCGGTTAGACGAGCGACAGCGTAGGAAACCCATTCAGTTGACTTTTTGTTGATACGAATTCGTTTTCGGTATCAGATTGAGAATTGAGCTTCGAAACTTGGGTAAGAAATTCCTTTTTTTTTTTGGTGCTTTGAGGTGTGCATGGTGTCAAGGTCGGAACGGCCCGATGGATAGACGAGCAACGGATACTCGAATTTTCTCGACATGAGCCAAGAGATTCAATAAATTTCAACACGAAAAAAAATTCCCTTTCCAGAGTGCATGAAAAATTGGCCCACCAGGCATAATTATGGTGTGGCCTCAGACCATGTCCAAGCATACAGCAGCCCCAACCTCATATACCTCCGATTTTGCATCATTTCCCACCCGAGACAACACACTCCGAGAGTCCGATATGGGGAGTAACGGTTTATTGAATGATAAAGGTTGTCGTCCATGCAGACGGGAGATTATATTCTCAAATACAATTGTGGAATGCACATCTTTCTGTTCAACCAGCTCTTGTGACTGCTTCTATATCTCCCGGGGTGGGAATATTTAAGGGGTTGATGAAAATCCCATACTGTTACCGAACATGCCGGATGTTGGAGCGACGATCAGGCTGCGGCACCACATACCTCAATGCACTTAATCGTTGATTGGCGTCAATCGTTGATTGCCATTGTTCTTTGGAGCGTTGACTGCTGCGAATGGATTACTAAATGAATATATGACTGACATTGTTGCCTATTCTAGAACTTGTTCATCTGAATCTTTGATATAAACCCACTTGTCTCCCCCGACGTGGATCTCATCTTTGAATCACCAGCACTTCTTCCCTCTAAGAAACTCTTTCAGTCTCTTCACTGAGCCTCGTTCATTCAACTCGTTAATTCGTCAAGTGTGAGTTCTAACCATTCCGTTACCAAGACATCCCCCTGATGATTGTGACCCCCTTCATAGGGTTATTCTCCTGCACTCCACATTCCGCAGCACTAGCCTAGGGGTGAAGACGTTGACTCGTACTTCATCTCTTTGTTGGTATCCAACAGAATCCCGATTCACCGGATCATTCCTGCCTAGATGCCAGTCTTGCCGTCACGGTAAGGGTTGCATTGTGCCCTCTGCCCGAAGGCTCTTTTCTGGGTTAGTATTTCTCCGAAGGAGTGATGACCCTTTCCATCTCCTGGGTGGATATCAACATACATCTCTACATTCTACCTTGTGCTTTTCCCTTCTCACACTCTTGCTTTCCCGTCACCTAGACGTTACAATCTTTTAATCATTTCTTGTTACACCGGCCTCCGCTAATATTAATTTCCTTCAGCCTTACCTTCGAAGACTTCCTCCTCGGACCTCCCGGCCACCTTTTCCCAGCATTCGAACTATTGTTTCCTGATCCACTCATTAATCGTTACAACTTTTCCGTCATTCATTCCAATACACTAATACCACGACTGTCACTCTCTTAATTCCGTCGTTGCCTGATAGAACCCGTTCTTCAGGCTTCCTTTCATTGAAACTCGGCAAAACAAAGCTCATACATCAACTTGTGCTTCACTTCGGTCGATCCAAGTACTTCCGCAATCATGGATTACCATCGCAACTACCGTCCTTGCCCCACCTTCTTCGTGGAAGAAGAGTACGGCATGGAAAGTCGGATTCGGCAAGAGCGGCAGGCGAAGCAGGAGCATGACAAGCAGATGGCTCGTGAGCGTCAGTATGTTATGGCAGATGAGCTGTCTAATCTTACAAGTGAGCAGCTTCGGGACGATGTCCTGAGTCACATGTTGGAAATGGATGTAAGTATCCATCGTTTGTTCCCCTTGAAGGTTATACGTTTCTAACCTAATCATGGCATAGAACCAAACCCTGCCCGACGTCGAGTCCATTGACATCCAAACCGAGATCCAGTGGTTCATGCGCCCGTACCTTCTTGACTTTTTGATCGAGGCCCACACCGCGTTCCAGCTTCTGCCATCCACCTTGTTCTTGGCGATCAATCTTTTGGACCGATACTGCTCCAAGCGTGTGGTCTACAAGCGTCATTACCAGTTGGTTGGCTGTGCAGCTCTACTCATCGCGGCCAAGTACAATGACAAGAAGGATCGTGTTCCCACTATCAAGGAGTTAAAGTCGATGTGCTGCTCTCTTTACGACGACGATATGTTCACCCAGATGGAATGGCATGTCCTCCAAACTCTTGGCTGGTCCATTGGACACCCGACTGTGGATGCTTTCTTGCAGCACGCCGTTTTGGATGATGCTTACGACCCCGAGGTGGAACACATGGCTCTGTACATCCTGGAGATTGCCTTGTTCCACCGGGACTTTGTCGCCAAGCTATCATCTGAGCTTGCTCGTGCCGCTCTTGCATTGTCGCGCTGCATTCTTAACCGACCGCAGCCCCGTCACACACATTGGTCATCGCAGTATGACTCGATGACTCTTGTGGCCTTGTCTCAACAGTTGCACCAGCCCTCCACCGTGGTCGCCCGCAAGTACGCTTCAGCTCACTACTCTCGTGTCTCGAAGGTCATGGAACACTTCCTCAACCGCCAGGCTTCGTTGGCAACCTACGCCCGTTGCACCCCTCCGGTCGAGACTCCTATCGAGTCCAAGCCGTACAATGGGGAGATTGGCCTTGCCACCCCTCAGAAGTCTCAGCAGTTGACAGCTATTCCTCATGGCTACCTCACTCCTCCCATAACGCCGGATAACGAGGCACTTGTGCATGCCCATGCACAAATGGCGAATCACGATATGGCCCGTGGAATGCCCACTGTCCACCATGGCTGTTCCCCTTCCCCCGCACCATCTGCTGAGATGCAATACATGAACAGCGAAGCATACCAGCAACAGCAGGAGGCTATGTACATGGCTCAGCAAGCAGCTCTCCAGCAGTTCCCTATGGCACCTACCCACATGGGAATGAGCCAGACCTATCAGGGTGGGATGTAAAAGAAACGACGGAACGAACAGCAATCCAAATGATATTTGGTCATTGCACATATTTCCAGCACTTCATTTCATTTCTCTCATCTTCATAGAATGACTCCAAGGAGCATCTGATTCCGCATTGATTCACCTCGATATCCCATCTTAATACTCAATGCGCCACACCAGCTGTCCACCTGTGCCATATCCCCCGAACTCGACTACATCCACTTTCGTCCTTTACGCTTTGCATTCGGCTCTGGTTTTACGGAACCAGAGTCGAGACCAGCCCTTCACTTCCTGTTCCAAAAATTGCATACCCATTTGCTCCCCATACCCATTAGTTTTGGGTCATCAGTTGCACTTGATTTAACCATCTAGCATTGCGAGCGCGAGCCATGTTGATTTATTTGTTTCTCAAGAATACATTTTGCTGTTTTCCACTCCCCTCGTCATATTAACTTCTCTTCTACCTGTCAAGGAATACCACGCACCCTTGACACCTTGTATTTCTGCGCGCTAACTGGCGCTGCGTTTTTGATATCCCCATTCCCCCTACCCTCCACGATCCTTAGCAGCTTGGCTGTCTTCCCAATCGCGCCCCCAACCCCTACCCCTTCGCCCTCAAAAATTCCCCCCCAAACCCGTTTTTCATGTGCCTCGTTCCTCACGTTCGCTCTTCTGTGCAACGTGCATGAACCCTCTTCCTGTCTGATGACACCCACTTGTCTCAAATGCCAGGAGAGCAGGCTCAGAGGTCACAAAAAAAAGCAAAAAAAGTGTGAAAACCTGGAAAAAATTATGTCTTCTGGGGAGGAAAGGCCACCGAGTCCATATTTGGTTGGACTCAAAAGGTGCCCTTTTCTTTCCCTCTGCTCTCCTCTTCCTTTGTATCTAGCCTTTGACACATGCCCTGGACGCCTGTCCGTCATCCATTACCGGAGACGGGAGGCCAGGTGCCTTTTTCTTTTATCTCTTGTGTGGATTTGAGAATGGGGTTGTCGGTTTGCCGCTTGGCCCTGAATTATATCCCATTTTCAGTGAACTTTTGGATGCTGTAGAATTGTAGTCTTTCTTTGCTCTTGTAGAGTACTGGGCTCGACGTATCTTTGTTGCAATTCTCTGTGAGCTACTGCATGGTAGCCATAGTTCTATCTAAACAATAACCAATCAGCGGAAACAACATGTCGCTCTCTCTATGCTGCTCTTCTCTGAATTTGCACTTCGATGTTCATTCCCTTGCTCTGGATATATTGCTACTGTTAGTCCCCCTTTTTGTTGCCATAATCTCCACCAATACACTGCGCCGATCACAAATCTCAAGTCTCTCAAGAAGTATATCCTGCCACTCGACTCGACATATTCCAGAACACCCTGGTTCTAATATTGTCTCTACAACAGGCTCAAAGCCCAAGGTAGTCGGTGAATAAAGCTAACAGACCTCTGGTTCAAACACCTCCCCCTTTGCCACTCAGACAAAGTCTCATATATATTTTACCGTGGTCGAGGCTTGTTTGAGTTTCTCTCTTATATGGACCAACTTTGGCCGAATGACAACTAATACTACATATATCAAAGGCTATACTGTTCAATTACACATCACTACCCCGCTTAACCCTACATAGTAATTTTTACCAATTGCTGCAGCGGCCCATAAAGAGGGAAAGAAACCAGTTAGGATCGAGTGCTGTGTATGACACTTTCCATTCCAAGCTAGAGGCTTCTATGGCTGAATTGGAGGTATGTCATTGGAAAGGCGCCATATTCCTTCAGATTTGCTCATGGCAATAAGTTTTGAGATATATATTTGGCAATTCCCTGCTAGGAAAGGCACACAAGGCACACATACGTAAAAAATAAGATTGAACATAAATTAAATTATGAATTCATCCACAGTCATTCAACTACTTATACATATTCTTCGACACAAGGAAAAGAAGCACAAATCAAGCGACGATTAAATTAGATAATAAAACAATGATATTTCTCTTGAGAATACAATTTCGCTCATTCGCAATAAATCCAGATCCAGCAGATCCAATAATACCCACGCTATGCATCGCAACAAACAAAAGAAACAAAAAGGAGGGTGTCAACCCAATTAGACCCCCCAGCATGACCATGCAGCTAGCTGCTAGGTCACAATGCAGAGAGGCAAACACATATTCAACAGTAACCAGTAGCGTTGGAAGGGTAGAAGGTAGAAAGTATAAGGTAGAAGGGGGAAAGGAGAGGAGACAGGTATAACTAGGAGATCACAAAGAGTGAACCCTAGTGGGGAGTAGAGAGGAGAGAGGAGAGACAAGACGAAGAAGCAAACAGCAAAAACACCTCAAGAAGTCCAGAATAATGATACAAGGGGAAGAAGAGTGGGGACCCGAAAATCCGGGGAGACGCAGGGATTCAGGTTGGCGAGGCAATGGGAGTGCAAAAAGGAAAAACGGCACAGAAGCCCCCGAGAATCCGAGAAGTCAGACAATCCAGAGAATTTCAGAAAAGTAGAACGTCCCGATTTGGTCAGGGGGCAAAGAAGAAAGGGTCGAGCGGTGACGAGAGGCAGCGAAAAAGGGGGGTTTTGGCGTCCAATTATCTCCCCAAATCATCTTTGTCGATCATCGCCTCACTTTTCTTTTTTTTTTGGGGGCTTTTTTGGGCTTTTCTTTTGGTCTGGACCTCTTTTTCGCCTTTGTAACGCGCGCGTGTAAAAATGGTGGTATCCGCGTCTTTTTTGGCGAGCCACCTACGTATGCAGCAATTGAGGCAATGCATATGGGATGTAGGCGATTCGAGTTGTAAAAAGAACAACTACTTCCAGCGTTGTTTGTCCCAGTCAGACGGCCGCGTCTCATCGTAGATTCGGCCGCCCTTGTTATGAACGACTACCGGAGGTTTGCGGACGGGATTGGTTGCTGGGGTTTGCATTAGCTCGGACTGAATCTGAAGATCGGGGACAGGGATGTGATGGACTTGAACATACTCAGACTCCGGACTTCGGTGGCAACCACCTGATCGTTGCTGCTGCCTCTGCTGGCTAATGTGGAGTTGGAGTCGTTGACTTTGTGTGGCATGGTGAATGGTGGAAGAATAGTAGAAATGGGTTGTGGTTTGAGGATGGAAATAAAGGTGAATAAGAGGGAATTAGGGTATTAAAAGAGGTAGAGAATAAAGATGTAAAGAGATGAAGAGATATGTATAGAAAGCGTCGAGCGTGAGGCACACAGTGTTGAACTGCGAGCAGATTATAAGGACAATATAAATAGGATATAGACAAAAGATAAAGAGGAAGACAAAAATATAAAAGAAGACAATAGTGATGTTGTTGATAGGCTGTAGTTTGGTTGATAATGAAGTGATTGTTCGAGGGCGACGACTTCTTTTTGTATAGCAAGCCATTCCACATTGAGCTTCACCTTGATCTACACTCTGGGGAACACACGTCGAGCTTCTAACTAGTGCCAAAAGAGGTCAAGAGCTCTCGGAATGGATCAGCTCTTCCCCCCTGACGTATTTGGTGCCTGGTAATTACTGCCACGATTGAAGCATTGATTGGCTTAGAGGGTCGACCGAAAGTAGGGCAGCCAGTGAGGAAGGGAAGAAGTTACTAGGGCTTTGTCTCGGTGGACGGTAATATTACCAATAATGATGAGTCAGCCATTCCTCCTAGAATAGCGTACTATTTACAGAATTGGACTGGTCGTGTAACTAAAATATTATAATAACCAAAATAATAATATTCAATGAATGCGTTGGGGATTCCTCGCTTCCCTCTCACCGCTAGGATTACTTCTGCGCCAATGGCGGCTGTACAAAGTGCGTGTATATAGTAAACTACTAGAAATCGCCAGGCATGACCCAATAACCAGGGGCTATTCATTCCCTTTCACCGCAATTGGAACTCCACTGTGGTCCAGAATCTTAGGTCTCAATTATTATTCTATAATGACGCTCATTTTTTGGTCAATAGTTAGAAGCCTGCCTAATCTTATTAGGCTCCATCGGAAGATCTGCCCGTCCCGATTCATACAGGGTAATCCATCATCCATCCCATGGGGAAATAACAATTATGAAACTTAGGTACATATACATCTCCCTATAGTTAGAGCAATGCGTAAACAAGTCATAGTCTCGTTGGTAGTGCACGGATGTGCGTCATTCCATCCAGACCGAGATTCTGGCCCTGGAGTCAACCCTTTCCTGGTCAATCACTTTCCAAGCTAAGTATACCCTGGTGGGCTTCCCCAGCAACGGCTGAGCCAGCAATGAGGTTGCGAAGCGTGTGGATTGCCTGTCCCCTTCTGACTTGGTGGCGTGGACACAGAGAGCCCATCCCGTCAGGATTCTAGACCAGCCTCCCCCGAAATCGTAAACCGTGTCAGCTCTCCTGTCCACCGCCCTCTCGCTTCATACGGTCTTGCCACCCATTCATGCTCCGCCGAATTCCCAACGTCCGTCGCGGTGCTTGTTTAACCATTGACATCGTGGTGCTGTGGAACGTCGATACCGGCTGGAACCCGCGGGTGGAGCTCTCGGGTTTCACCTCGTCTGCCCCGGCTGTTCCGCCTGCGGATATATTCTTGCCGCTCTGTTCCTGCGTCATCGACATCCTCGCGGGTTTCAGGCCTGTTGATTTCGATGGGGCTGCCAACCACGTGTAGCCATTTGGGTTCGTAGGCTCCAGGGTCGGCCGTGTTGGAATGAGCGGCCGTGGCTGTACACGGTGGGAGGACAGAGTGGCTGGGACGATGCTTGCCCCTGAGCGTTGGTTTTGCGACGGTGCCCCTTCGTATCTGCGGGATGGTGGCGGCTGTGGATAGCTAGGCAGAACTGGTTCCCTCTTCTGGGAGGATCCTGGGCCTGCAAAAAAGTTGGATATGCTTGCTTGTGTGAGTCCGTCTTTACGGCTTACGCTGCTGAGCGGTTTCGGTTTGTTTGCCACAGCTGCATCTGCGTCTGTATCTGTCGGAGGATTTGAGGCTGACTCCGCAGAGGGTTCGGGGTTGGCCGCTATGTAATCCCGGGCAGACGTAAAACCCGATGAAACGGTTGTAGGAATTGTAAACCCTGTCGAGTTATTCATGGTATACCCAGTCGATGACATATAGGTGGTCGATTTTGGCCCCTGGTTCATGCCTGACCGCCGTCGCTTTGGATTGGGCTCGCCAGACGCGTCATGAGAGGTAGATGTGCTATCGAATTTGCTGCGGTCTTCCTCGCCCTCGGGTGTCCATCGATCGTCCAGCGTCGATGGAAGAAACTCGAGCCCCTTGTAGATGTCCTCTAAAGATGGCCGAGCGCGACGCAGAATATCGGAAATTGCATACACCACCTTCTCATGAAGAGACGGTCCCGTTGGCCGAAAGCGCGTTTTTATCAACTTGGGAGGAAGGAATGGCGTTAAAGTGGTTGCGCCATCTTCTCCTTCCCCTAACCGGGGTTGTCGAATAGGAACACTCAGGTATAACAGGGCCTGTGCTCTTGTCATTGCGACATACAGCAATCGTCTCTCTTCCTCTACCACCTCCGCACGCGAGTGAGGAATGCTCCCATTGTACACTGCGGGAACAAACACGACTGGCCACTCCAGGCCCTTGGCAGCGTGTATGGTTGAAATAGTGACTTTCTCCGGCGGTTGATCTCCCTCCTTGTTTTCTTCTTTCGTTGTGATCTCAGTAGCCAAGGCGACATTTGCCAGGAATCGAGTGAGAGCCTCCTCGCCAGAATGTGCCTCCTGTTGCTGCACACCTTCGATTTTAGGGAGATCCATTTCTTTATCAACCTCTTCCTCTTCAAACGCCGCGACTTCACTGGCTTGATGCATCAATTCCTTAACATTCGCCCAGCGGCTGTCTTCGTCAAGGGGATATGTTCTGATGAGATACTCCTGGAACGAGAGACGCTCGGCAATGAACTCAATTAGAACACGGGGAGCCGATGAATCCTCACACTCTTGCAACTTCTGTCTAGAGGCTTCAATCAACTTGACCAAAACGCAAAGTCCCTGCTCTGCGGCCTTTTGCAGTTTCTTCTCAGTCGAACGGCGCCCTTGGATGACATCCTTGATGAAGTCCCACAGTGAAATTTTGGCTTTCTCCGCACCACTAGTCAATTGCTTGATTGTCTCATCGCCAATCCTTCGTGGCGGAACATTCACAATATTCATCAACGCGTCCGAATGTCCTGTGTGGCTCACAACCCTCATATAGTTGAGAAGAATCTTGACTTCAGTTCGGTCAAAGAATTTTCGTCCTCCAACCATCTTGTATGGTATACCGGCTCTTCCAAAGGCCGTCTCGATTTGTGTAGACAGCGAAGCGGACCGAAGCAAAACAACAAAGTCAGACATGCGCAATAGACCGCCGGTCATCGCTGCACATCGCTTGATCTCAAGCACCATCCACTGCGCCTCTGCGTTGGGAGTTGGGAGCCTTCTCAGCACGGGCAAGGTTCCGAAAGAGTGCGTAGCCAGGAGTGCTTTTGCAGGCCGACTTGTATCCTGCTCAATGACTTCTTGGGCTGCATTCAAGATAGAACCCGCAGAGCGGTAATTGTCTTCCAAGAGTACAACCGTCGTGTTTGAATATCGCTGCTGCATCCGCTTGAGATTCTGGATCTCCGCAGAACGAAACCCGTAGATACTTTGATCTGGATCTCCGACGATGGTGATCCGTCGGTTTTTAGATGCAAAGAGGTTCATCAGTTCATATTGTATGATATTGGTGTCCTGGAATTCGTCCACCAAGACTGCCTGCACATTCGAGACACACTGTGGGTGGTCTCGGAGCAGATCTCCACATCGCAGCAGGAGGTCATCATAATCCAAGAGATTGGAGGCCGCCAGTGCTGATTCGTAGTCACGATAGATATCAACAAGCTCCAACTCTTCTGCTTTGGCTCTGTCAGCCAGGGCATCAGGACTGAGTCCATGTGCTTTATGTCGAGAAATTCGGCCTTGCGCCGCCTTGACTTCAATGCTAGACTTCAGTCGTTTAATGGTTCTCTGCGGTCACGATTAGAGAAAAGAAACAAACTAATATGACATAAAATTGCTAATCATACTCTGATAATTGCGCGGGTATCATCCGAATCCGCAATGCCAAACCCCTTCCGCAGGCCGATCAGGTATCCGTACTTGACCAAGTAGCGGCGACAGATAGAATGGAAAGTGCCGAGAATCAAGCGTGATTCGAGTTTTTCTCCGATGAGTTTTGCGAGCCGCTCCCGCATCTCACGGCTGGCTTTAATAGTGAATGTGCAGCAGATAACATCTTGCGGTTGGTATCCGTGGTGTGAGAGGAGGTACGCGACGCGTGCGGTCAATGTTTTTGTCTTGCCCGAGCCCGGTGGAGCGAGCACTTGCAGGATTGAACCGGATGAAGTGACAGCTTCTCGCTGGGCATGGTTCAACCCATCTAAGATCGGATCCATGACATGTGGGGTGTTTGATCAATGCTCGGGTGCTTGGGAGGAGGAGACGCGAGAAAACGCGACGTCATGTGACACTTCCGCTCTACATTGAGGTAGTCGACTGTTTGAAAGATTATTGGAATTAGAAGTTGCTACCTGTCTCTCATGGTGATATTTCGATAATTCAGATATGAGACGGCATTGGGGGGGATAATTGTGAGACGGCGAGCCCCGAAGACCCCCACAGAGTGGATGGTTGCGGGCAGAATAGAGGCAGGTTATGTCCAGCCTTGTGGCATATAGACTTCCTATATGCCTGTTTTTGACCTGCTTAGTTCCATGGTACCTGCTGATGATGTTTACGTAGACAAAAGCGTAGGTCACTGCTCTTAAATGTTGCAATTCGTGCTTTGTTTTCACTATCTATACCCCGGAAGAACGACCAACATGGACGAGTTTCTAGTAATCACTTCCAAACGATAAGCCTTATGCTAACCCAAAATCTTTATTGATAGATAATTAGCGCCATACTTTGACCAGCCCTTGGGTTCTGCAAGACTGACGGCCCCTCTGCCTAACTCCACCGTGGAATTACCGAGATTGGCAGGTGATATCTCGAATTCCACTCGATCCAAATAAACAGACTAATCGGAAGAGAGGGCTTTATACGGAGTACAATTGAGCCGACGCCATCTGGTAAAAAACCAGTTAAGGCAGGTCGTAACATACCAATAGCAGATTTATGGCAAGTAATGTGGCCTCCCTTACTCAAGGAGATACTTCATCGTTGCAGCGAGACTCATGAAGAGGATTTCGAACATTAGCATAATCTCGATTTCGGAAGGGAAAAAGCCAATCATTTCTATGTCGATAAATCAAATCCCCCGGCACACAAATGCGTCCAAGTGCCATCAAGCACGGCAGGGGATATGCAAATCCATCAAAATGATTGACACGTAGGATGATAGAACTTCACCAATACATTTTCACGCCCGGGTTTTACCTAGAAGCAATATTCCAAACCAAGTTAAGGTGATGTGTGGTCATTGGATTTGGATGAACGAAGTATCCGGAGTCCGGAGTTGGGATTTCGTACTTTTGTACGAAAAAGCAACTAAATCAAAACCCGTACTTGGAATGTGCGCCCCGTGCCTCGGAGGTGTCATTACATGACTCGCCCACAAAGTCTCTTCCCGTCTTCTGTTGGTGATGTTTTTGAGGTTTCTTTTTCAATCTTCACCGGTAGTGGGCCCGATGTCTCCCGCCGTGCCGGATTCCGACCTGCCTATCTGATACAAGCGCTCAAGCAAGGCGGGACAGGGTCTATGACTGCAAGGACGCACGGTCCATTATTGTGTGGCGAAGTTCGAGAGTGCGCGGCCGTGGTGCTTGATAGGTTTGTACTCCGTATCTCCCCTTTGAAGAGACTTGCCAGAAGGCCCCGTGATGAAGAGAGGATCTCGGGATGAATGCCATTAGAGGACTTGGCCATTAGACCACAAAAGGCAGGTCTGATATAGTATACTTCATTTCCATTTCCGTTTTAGTGTTCACTCCTCGCTGGCTTTTTTTTTATCAATTGAGCTTAATTCTTATTGGGTTGCCTAGGCCCTGGACGGTGTCTATATTCTATATCCATCTTATGCACGACATGGCATCTTAGATGTAACCTTATATGTATTTATCGATCAAGTCAACCGAAAGACCTGCCTGTAACAAAACTTTATCCCTCTCTAAAAGAGTTCCAATCAATTAAAGTCTGATAGGTCTTTCCTAGCTGACTTATTTCTGATATGTTACTGGCGAGGCGTGAATAAGTCTTAGGAGCTTAAGCGTTGGTACCTCATGTCTGTCGACTAGGTAATAGAAAGCCAACGCGTTGCAAAGGATAGCCGGTACGTAGCCAGGCTTCTGAGCAACTAGGTCGTCTTGATTTCCAAGATGTTACCTGCAAGTTAAGGCGAAGTCCTTTCTTTCTCTCTCTGTCTCTCTCATTCTACTTGTCCTGTTTGAATAATTCAATTCCTTTTAGACAGTTTGGGTTGTAACAAATAACGTCAAAGCGCAAGTCGTAGAAAAATAACGAATTGATTGAGCTTTCATGCTTGAATGGTCTGGCTATAAATACATATATTGGCTCTTTTTAAAACTAGCACACGAAAACAGACATGTTGCCAATTTGGGGACCCTAGATACATATTGGGTTAGCAACTTGTCTGCAGCCAGCTCGCGGGATAATGCACTCACCATATAAACAAGATTTCGGTGAACAATACGCCAGGTACCAGTAAGCTGACGTTGCCAGTTATCCTGATATTGGCCATAGGCATAGTCCACATCATTCGCCTTGTCTCCTTTCCCGAAGTGGGCGGCACGGAAGTATGTCACCGACTTTGCCGTGATGGGGGAAAGTACATCGATCCGTTGTGTACCATAAAGATGTTGCGTGGTTACACATCCCAGGCTCGTGCCTAGCACGGATTGAATCGTTTTCAGCGGGGTCAGCACGTTGAGGGGCGCCGAGTAGTTGGCTGTCGCGTCGGTGGTAAAGACCTTGCTAAGAGCGTCGAAGTCTTTACCGTCAATAGCGAAAGCATAGATGGCTAAAGTATTTCGAATTGCCTCAATCGTGCCAGCATCGGTATAGACCTCGGGCGCGTAGCCACTGGCAAGGGACGAAATCTCGATAGGAGCGACATCGCTGGTCGCCACAGCCGAGCTCGCGACGGCGAACGAGAGTGCGCAGAAAGAGAAGAATTTCATTTTGTTCACAGAAAGATCAAATAGATGTATAGAAAGGCAAGGGTGGAGCAAGGGTGTTGCTCTTTATTATAGGAGACTTTGTACTTCATAATTCTGCATCCACCAATCTCAATCTCGGCTGTGCTTCCCCTGAGATCCGAGATGAAATGAACCGAATATCCTCGCTTATACGGAGCAATTACTACATATGTACTCATAAGCTAGTGTGCTAGTGTCGGGCAAAAACTTGAACTAATAGGAACAGCGCGCAAAGCTTAGCGTCTAGGTTGTCGAGCAGCCAATATGACAGGACGATATAAATCGAATCCGTTATGGAGAACGCTGTGACAGGACAGAAGGCTTCGCTTCGATCATTAGATCTAGAAGTGGGGATAGCAAGGGTATATTGGCTTTGTCGGCTCGACGCGACGACCGCGGGCTTTTCTCCAAATTGACACTTTCCCGGGGGTAAGCCCCTCGCTTGTTGCTGTGGCTGCGCCAGCCATATTAAACAGAATACAAGCGCAATCAAAATCTCTAGGCATCGGCTAGTCTGAGAAAGTTCTTACGGAGTACCTCAACTGTACTCCATGCTCTCCACCTCCTCTCAGTTCAGTCTTTGAAACAATACATCAACTAAGATATTAATTCAGACTGCCCATTCCCCATTCTAACCCCCTCCAGCAACGGGTATCGTAGTCGGGCCGAAGCGAATAATGCCCCTCAGGATCTGGCCCCCACATATCTGGCCCCAAAATGGCTTTTGATACGGCCCCAAAATGAGCCCGGGAGTGAGCTCCCAATCCATACAACCCCAGCGATTTTGCATTGCATTGTTGCTCTCATAGGTCTACAATATATATTGTAGATTGTTCGTGTAGACTAGGTTTGGGAGCCCTGCAAGCGGCGACAGCCCCGGGGCCATGAAGGGACATGTTATTTAACCCGTTTCACTTGTCTGCTCCATTTTTGTGTTAAATTTTTGCGCCAGACACCATATATATGGGCGACGCTCTTTGGTAGACCGTAGGTGTCCATTCCAGCATTACTTTCAAAAATGGATTTGGCCCTCCACCACCTCTCTTCCGGCTGGGAGAAACGAGCCGAGGCCACAATGGAGGTTCCATTGATATCCAAACAGGGTCAGACGGTAAGAAACTTTGCGAATCTCACGAAAGAACAATTTAGTCTGAGCTTAACGGTTTTAGATAGTGATGTGGATTGGGGTGGCACTCTCATTTGTTCTCATTGTTATTCGAACACACGTTCAATATCAAAATAGCAAGCAGCTATTCCTCAATGACTACTGGATATTCCTCGCCATGCTCTGCCACTTAGCAACCGCTATAGTCTACCAATTTGCCATGTCCCCCATGTACGAGGTCGCATATATCGGGGCAGGATTGAAGACTCCGACGGCGGGATTTATGGATCGAGCATCGGTTTTCCTCAAATTACAATATGCTGCCGATATTCTCATATGGACCGCGTTGTGGTCGGTCAAGTTTTCGCTTCTCTTCTTTTTCTGGCGGTTGTTTGACTCGGTGAATTCTTCCATAAGGGTGTTCTGGTGGATCATGTGTGGGATCACTGCGTCGACATGGATCATAAGTGTGGTAATGCAGGAATTTGCTTGTGATCCTATCAGCAATTTCTTCATACTAGGTAAAAAAAAGACCAGGCTTTCCTTTTTATTAGCCATACTAACTCAATTTAGGAGCATGTTCATCCAAGAAAGATCTATTCATCTCAAACCTCATTTTCCGCTTTTCTATCGGGGCCGACATTGCAGGTGATGTTTGCGGTTGGTTATTCCCTCTCAGCCAAAACTGCCTTGTATATTAACCCATCTCATATATAGTAATGTTGATCCCCTTTCCCCTGCTCTATAAATTGAAGATCAACCGTCGAAAGCGCTGGATCTTGATTGGTTTATTCACACTGCCAATTATTCCAATTATATTCGCCATCTTACGCCTGGTCATGACCAACCCGAAAACACACAACGTCGATCCGATAAAATTCCAACTATTCTCTTTGCTAGAAAACACTGCCGCAATTGTTACCTCCTGTCTACCCGCCTTCCGTCTCTTCGTTGCCAACGTGCATAATCCCACGGTCCATAGTGATTCGCGACCCTCCCATCGGTATTCGCGAGGCCTTCGTGGCTCATACAGAAACTTCGGAGCTTCGTCGCTAAACAAGCAACAGGCAGGAATCCCTTTCGACTCCTTCAACTATGGATCTCATGATACACATATAGTTCATGATAAAGGTTTAATTGGGAAAGCGATCTCAAAGGACAGTGATGAGGAGTGTCTCAATCCTTACAATCCCACACCTACTCACGGTGTTCTTGTCACACAAGAATATCATGTCACCTGATTCAAGATAGAAATAGATCTATCTCGCTATGCATAATGATAGCTTTTGATGACGCTGCTATCTTGACTACAGCATGTATGTGTGGTAGATAATTTACCCCCACCCATAGCGATACTCAGGCTACAATCACGGTGTTAAGAATCGATAATACACTATCTGTAACCTACACAAAGGGGCTATATTCCTCTTTGCGCGATATATCAACTATGCACGGGCCATTTTGGTTATCCACATAGTATGTCCAGACCCACCGATTTAATATCCTGAGGCGACGATCACTCCAGAGTACGTGCCGCCTAAGAAATAGTACCCACGTCCTGGTGCCTAGTACCGAGGCACCAGACACCAAGAAACAAGGCTTATCTCTGGTAAAAACGAAATCTGTACTCCCTTTTTGGACTTCGTTATGGTCTGTAGGACTTTAATTCTACTCAACACAATCAGTTTGTTCAATGCATATTCCAGCATTGAGTCCTTTGAGTGAAGAGGCTCACGCCCTCACAAAAGTGGCAGCTAAGATATGCCCGGTATATTCACCATACCGATTTAAGGGTACGTACGGATTAAGTAGCTATAGATTTCTCGGTCAAATAGAAGACTCCGTATTAAGAATATAATGCTCGCTCGAGTAACGCTTATCCTGAATCATGCAAATACAACATCACAACCACACCAGTATATGTCCAATAGAAATGAAACCACAACAAAACCAATCAATGTTCTCAGGAGGGTATCACGCCAGCTTATGTCCTCTTGAGATCAATCAAGGACCTCTCCCAAAAAAAAAAAAGAAAGTAGATTAAGAGAAGATGCCTAAGGGCAGTGTCATAGCCACCTCAAAATTGGGCACGTTGACCACTTCAGCAATATGCAAGTCACCAGCAACACTAGCAAGAATGTATGCCTCGCTGCGAGTGAGACCCTTAGTCTGCACCAACCACTGTATAAGGTTCCGAGTAGCACTTCTGGTAGCCTCGTACAGGTCAGGAGCAACACCGAGAGCACCGTAGGTTCCAAGGTCGGGGAGAGGGTTTGGTATTTGGGCGCGGGGGGAGTCTGGAATTGGGGAGCAGTCATCCAGGGTTGGTTCTTGAGGAGCTCGAAGCGGAGGGTAGCGCGAATCGGGGTTTCGATGGCGGTTCCGCAGACCTCGCCGTGGCCCTGCGCAGCGTGACCGTCACCGCAGCTGAAGAGGGCGCCGGTAGTTTGAACAGGAAGGAAGACGGTGGAGCCGACGCTGAGCTCCCGGCAGTCCATATTTCCGCCGGCGTTTGTGGGCGGGACGGTCGAGAGTTCTTCGTCATTGGCTGGGGCCAGACCCATGCATCCGAGGAAGGGACGCAAGGGGATCCGCATGTGTTTGAATTGAGCGAAGCCTGCTTCGCGGTTCAGCTCCCAGATCTTGATCTCGGGCTCTGGGAATTCGTCTGCCAGCAGACCGAAGCCTGGGATGATGGCGGACCAGCCCCAGTCAGCAACCTGAAGGTCCAGGACTTCCACTTTGAGCACATCGCCGGGTTGGGCGTCGTTCATATAGATTGGGCCGAAGACGGGATTGGCTAGGCCGAGATCCAACGTCTTGATGGCTGAGGCCTTGGATGACGTGTCGAGCTGGCCATTGCTACTGTCAATAGCATCGAAAGAGACAGTCTCGCCGGAGGAGATGGTGAACTTGGGGGTGTTTCGACGGGACCACTTTTGGTGGCTACATTCTCTTCCCACATGGAAGTTACTCCATTCCTTTGGTGCCATACCGAATGTTTGAGGGTCCTCGAGTTTCAGTCAGGATCATTGAAGGGATGCAATATATGGAAAGACGGATCTGAAGGCAATAAGGGAAATGAAAAAAATGGGGCCAGGATGGGAAGAAAAAAAATCCGTGGAATAGACGGGCGATTTTGTATCTAACGAGCTCGGGAGATCCTCTTCAGGGTTGACCGTTCTGGAAGGTGGCTACAGCCGGATCTTATGCTTCTTTTTGCCAGCTCCACTCCGAGACTGACTCGCCTGCCTAAAGTAGTTTGACAGGTTTCCAACAGATTGGTCTCGTCCCCCCTGTCGGAACCTCTGGGTTTTCAACAGTAGATCCATTGGAGTATGAAGAATCGCGAGGTCTGGTTGGATAAAACTGGGCAGAGCGGCTGTAAGCGACAAGCAGACAACCTTGTAGGGTGGGGGAGGTTACGGAGAACCCGATTGTAGCATTTTATACGGAGTAACTGCAGTTATAGTTTCAATCTATACAATATAAAATTCTAATATACCATTTAATGGAAAAGCAAAAGCCGCGGAAAACCCAAGTTTCACTTACCTATGTCGTAGGTAATTTGCCAGATTCCAAGGTTTCTCCGTATAAATACGCCACGATTGAATTGATTGGTAAACGTTTCTTGTTTTTTTTTTTTTTTTCTCCTTTCAATTAGGCTCGGACCAAGTGATGAAAAGAAGAAATATAGTTAAAATGAATTCAAATAATCGAAATATTAAATATTAAATAAGCAATTATTCCTTAAAAATCCAGAATAGTCTAAACTAGTCCAACACCACCTTCTTCATTGGGTAAGGAGCGAACCGTTGGTAGGCTGTGAGTGGCACAGCTGCATAACATTTTCCAAGTGGAACTTTGGGCCCCGGCTAACTTTGCTAACTAGTATAACCTTGGAAGGACTATACAACATACAGAGTGCATATGTATATCTTGTGTAGCATTGGATATATAATTCAGATCTCACGATCCCTGTCCGTCCAACATCGCTACAATACACGATGCATTGTCACTGCGAGGCCTGTTAGCACTATTGGTGGCGATTTCTTGTGCAATTTCATTCGCTCGTTTTCCCCGCATCGATAACTTCATCACGTGCTGAACCAGGTTCGTATCATCCACTCGATCGGTAACTCCGTCAGACACCACTAGTAGCAGGTAACGGCGGTCCGTGTGCAACGTCCGTCGTGAGGTGTATGGCTCATTGGATAGGAAGTTGCCCCGAGATTCCGATCGGCTGGTAGCTGACGAGGCGGGGTCTGGTACGGAGTTGTCCATGAAAGTATTCACCGGATTCTTGTACTGCAGGTCGCCTAGTGCTCGAGACATGTTCAAGGATCCTGTCCCTCAGCGAGTCAGTATTTAATTTGGAGGCTTACTCTCCTTTTTAACCCACCAAGGCGCTCTGTGCCGCTGCGTTTGTTGACTGCCCCGCCCGCCTTCTCAATTCGGGTCTTTTCGCTGGGAATTGAGGGCTTGTGAGCCACTGTGAGACGTCGCTAGTATGTGGCTGTTAGCATCCATGCTCAAATCAACTGAAATCAACGGCAGTGCGTACAATGTGATACGGGTGCTCCGTTTTGGGGTCCCGCTCGGCAAAGATAACGTGCGAGTCGCCCAGATTGGAGACAAGCAGCTCGCCCTTGGTGAGATTTACGCAACATATTGCCACTGTCGACCCTGAAATGGCAGGCTCGGCAGATTCATACTTGAACCTATCCAACAGAATACTGTCTTCCTCCGCCAGTGCTGCCTTGATAGCCGCAGCCCAATCGTCTCGTTCGAACTCCGGACGCCGCCCAAGCAGGTGGTGCAGACTGTTGTTAACTTGTTCTGAAACCAATCCAGAACCACTGGAGATATTGGTCAGTTCGAGACTGATTTAAAGGACGCATTTCGAGGCTTTCCTTACTGCCCATCATAGATTGCGAAGAATGCAATATTGTCCTTCGTATTTGAAGGAAATTGATTCGGAAAAATCACTGCGCACCGATCCTCTTGATACTTCCTACCACCCTGGGACTGCCATTTGATTATTGATAAGCACAATACCTAGGTAGCTGTGCGAGGATCATGTGCCTTAACACTCACTTGACCAGCCCCAGCATCAAAGAGCGTGATTGCGTCCGAGGTACACATTGTTTTACGGAACATCTGGTCCCTCAGAGCTTTGTGAGCCACAACCATGCTTGGGCAGTTGATAGACAAAATCAATCCCTCATAAGGGCATGGGCAAAGTTCTGTCACGATATCTACATATGTATGGATGATGATGATGATGATGCACTGACATCATGAACGCCTTCTGTTTTTGACTGATGCTAGGTCGTTTACCACCGATATCCAATTGGTGGCTTTCAATGGCTTCCCCGGAGTCCATTTCTTTCCCGGACAGATTTGCCAGCGATGTTGATATTTGACTGCCGCTAACGTATTCTATTTCCTCGGCACTTGGGGCAGATATCGTGGTAAATTCTTTTCTTTTAGACATCCCAATACAATGAGTCTAATAAATGCTCAAGAACATTGCAATATTACCCTACCAAATAGTATTTAACCTTCTATTGAGCAGATCATGAATGTTGCATAGATCCTCTATTGATAGCGCACGGGCCAATTTTCTCGGCGCGGCGAATCTGCAAGATCGTGATTCTAATCAGGAACAACCCTCTGGACTCACTTTTCTCACTTTCCGCGCATTTCTGATTTCGTTCAGTATGGGCTGGATAGGTGCAGGTGTACTAATAGCAACAATAGGCTACTTTCTCTACCGCTACCCTCCTCGCAACTGGGCCGAGTCTCGTTCTTTTGCCCCTCCGGAACCCAAACCCGACGCGCCGGTTGCCGCTGCCACCGCAGACGAGCCTGTGCAGCGGAAGCATGGCTCAGTGGCCTCAACGCCGTCAATAGTGACAGAGGAGGAGGATTCACAGAGCACACCCAAGGCTTCGGCTGCGAGCGTACCACTCCCCGTCCTTGCGGTTCCCACATTCAGCCTGGACAGCAGCGAGAGAGAGACCTCGCAACCCGGCACAATGCCGTCCATTTCACAAAGCATGAATGGAAGAGCAGAGCAACTACCCTCGACAAACTGTGATCATGGGGTACCAAAGTTCCAACCGCCACCGCAGCCATCTCTGGCACCCCCTCCTAAACCACAACCATATATACCCCCGAAGGCAACAACCACCGGCGCCTCTTCCCTAATGCCTCCTCCGCCTGTGCCACGGTCCCGACCAGCAACTCAAGCGAACCGCCTCACCCCCACAAGCACGCTCCAACCCCCACGGCTCAGCGGCAACTCCCTTGGCCCACCACCATCAGCAGCCGCCTCTCAGCGCGGCCTGGGCGCACCGAGCAGCGGCAGCCGTCTTAGCAACAGTACCCTCGCCCCGATACAGGTGTCTCTAAAGAAGTCCTCATCGCGTAAAGTGATTCTCGAGCCGGGATTCTCGCCCCTTGACTGGGCAGCGCTAGCAGCGAACCCGAAGAACAAGCTCCGCGGCGAAGGCCTTCCATCAGGCCTACTGCGTGTCACACCGTCAATTCTGAAGGAGCAGCACGGACGTAAGGGTCGTGATGCCTGGACTTCGTACCAGGGAAAGGTGTACAATATCTCGCCCTACGCCCCTTACCATCCAGGTGGGAGGGGTGAGCTCCTTCGAGGCGCGGGGAAGGACTCTGCACAGCTGTTCCAGGAGATCCACCCGTGGGTCAATTGGGAGGGGATCCTTAGCGAGTGTCTCGTCGGAATTCTGGTGTCGGAGCATGATACCCAGACCGAGAATGCTCTGGATGCGATGGACTGACACCTAATCCACTTCTTGATTGTCGTTCTACTTTGCTGTAATTGTTCAGCCGGTTTGTATACAGTGTACATCTTACCACATATAAATGAGATACCCTGCTGCTTTATTATAAAACCAACTCGCATGCGAAAAGGTATATATTTGTTCTTGGCCGGATATAATGGCCTGGTCATCAGAATCCCTCCCGGAGAGTCACTAGGTAGGTATCAAGCACCGCACATTCAAAGCTCATCCTTCACACCATCAATACCGACCAACTCGGTCTCAAACACCAACGTCGCACCGCCGGGAATAGGTCCAACACCGCGGTCGCCGTAGCCGAACTCGGGCGGGATAGTCAGCGTGCGCTTCTCGCCAATGCACATGTCAAGCAAACCCTGGTCCCATCTGTACACAACGAACACACGAATTAGCTTCCATACGAATAACCAAGATAAACAGGGATGTTTGTAGGCAAATGCACGATTGACATCCACAAACAGCCCCGGATAGCTTCCAACTCACCCCTTGATGACACGACCGGTACCAAGCTTGAATGTCAAAGGCGCTTTGCGCTTGTAGCTGGAGTCGAACTCGGATCCGTCGGACTGCAGGGTGCCGCGGTAGTGCATGGCAACTCCGTCGCCGTTGACTGTCTTGCGGGTGCACTCGACAGCGTGGGTGACTTCGATGCCGAGCTCGGCGGCAGCCGCGAGAGAGCCAAGGGCTGCGACGAGGATGGAAGTGAGACGCATTGTGTGTTTGTGGGGTTGATTGGGAAGAGGGGAATTAGGGAGATGAGGAGTTTGGGGATGTGGACAGATACATGGGCGGAGATTGGACCGAGGTTTAGCGTTGGTCTGTGCTTTAAGCTTATGGTTGCAAGGTTTACATCCATGGTTGTCAAATCAAGGATTCATTACAAGGAGATATTTATTGCTTAGTACCTATTTTGCCAATTCTCTTAGACTAGATCGGGCTTACAAAACACCACTTTTGTATGCACGAAAGATGCCAAAGGAAGCAGAGACTGGATAGATACATATGTACGTAGGTGGCTGAAACTATGTAGCAGTTATATACTTCGGGTTATTTGAATATTTGTGTTATTATTGACTATGATTATGTGGATATCCCACTGTGGTTCTACCTAAACAATTGAGACCGGAGCAACTGTTGGGTTTGAGGTCATATGGGGATGACATCTCCATTCCTGACCTTCGGCCATTCACCGACGATTGCCGTGCACCGAAAGCCATTCTAACCCTTCAACGTCTAGTCCACGGATTTATCATCACCATTAGGAAGACCCGGGGCGATGACTTGATCAGCAGCCGCTTGCAAATCATCCTCGCCCATATCGCCATCCCAGCCGTTGGAAACAAGGTAAGCACGGAATTTCTCGTCGCGCACCCTCAAATCCTCGCCCGTCAAATCAGGTACAAAGAAGAAAGTCACCAAAATCCCAACAACGCCACAAATAGCAGCAATAATGAAAGTCCACTTATTCCCCAGACGATCCTTGATAGGCTGAAACGCCTGCGTACCGACAGCAGCACCTGCCTTCCCAACAGCCGCAGAGAGCCCATAGCAAGTCCCTCGAACACCGGTAGCATACGACTCAGACGAAATCAGACCGAGCATATTGCCCGGACCGAAATTGCCCGAGCTCTGCATCAGTCCGTAGAAGACGACGAAGAGAGGCACGATCTTAGTAACGCGGTCGTAGGCGCAGCCAATAATTAGGCCAAAGATTAGGTATCCACTGAAGCCGATCATCATGATGCGCTTGCGGCCAAGGCGGTCGCAGAGAATGGCCCCCAGGAAGACGCCCGGCAGCGCGATTGCGCCGAGGAGGAGCTGCCATTCGCCTGTTTTTAGGATTGTGCCGTCGTGCACGACCGAGGAGATGATTGTACCGGAGAAAACGCCGTTGGGGAAGGTGACAAAGTCTATACATGTTAGTTTTGACATGTCTGTAAATACTGGGGAGGCTCTCTTACCGTAGAGGAACCAAGCACCGCAAGTCCCAATCAATGCTTTCCAGTAATACCGCAGCACAAGCATGTAGGGTACGTGTTTCTTGATCGCTCCGCGTCGGTACAGCACCGAGTTCAGCATGCGGATTCGGAAGTAAAACACCGACAGCGGCCAGATGCATCCTATACCAAAGCACACCCGCCACACGGTGCTGTAGTGGGACTGCTGACAGGCCGAGAGTACGATCAAAAAGATTGATACCGCGAATGGGCCTCCAAATGACAGGGGGAAGTTGGTTACCATGATGAATGCCGGGCCACGGTGCTTCGGGGTTAGATCATTTGCTGCTTCCGAGGCGGAAGTTGAAGAGGCCGGGTACTCGCCGCCGGCGCCTGGAGATAGTTAGTAGATTAACCAAATCGGAATGATGTCTTTGGGATATTAGGTAACGCAAATATATCGGGGTTTTACTTACCGAACCCGACAACGCCACGGGCAACCGTCATCATCCAGAACATGCCATCGATGGTAACGCCATGCGAGGCTGTGGCGAGAATACCTCCGACAACGATCATAAGGGTTGTGAAGACGATAGCGGTCTTACGACCGAGATAGTCGCATGTCAGTCTAGTATGGCATCGTCAGTCGTCAGAACCCTCCCATAGCCCTAACTTTTAGTAGTGTCTTGTTCGTACCCGATAACAACCTGCCCAATGACTTCGCCGACGAGTAGAGCATTCGAAACCCGCGTGCTGACAGTGGTAGTGTACTCCTTGGGGTATTCCTTTTTGAGGAGGACATTGGTCATAGTCCTATGGGGTGTATCGCGGTTAGACACAGTCGTGCATGGAAGCAATCACTCAACCCACATCAGATTGTTTTGATATCCATCGCTGATCAGAGCGAAGCCGCTTGCAAACTATTGAATACCATCCAGTTAGTCAGTCTGTCATTGGCTAACCTGAGCCGCGAGTGTGGGGAAAGCAAAATGTAACCTGGCATGGATAGGCCAGGATGATACACTCACAATAGTGAAGAGGTCTGACAGACTCTGTTGCTTCAACAACATGCCCGATGAATGAGTAGTGTCAACTTGGTCGATAGTGTCTTGAGTCACAGCCTTGGACCCATCGCACCCAGGGAGCGCGGTTAAGTCGCGTGCTGAAGCCATTTCGACAGCCTTGAGAGACGGTTTGGGGGAAGTTTTGGACAGTGATCCTTCCAGACAGGACTGGAGGGACCAAGGGTGTCAAACACCCCTGGTAATTCGCTGCTATTTATTTCATTTTCGACCTGTTGTACAAGCCCTTTGGAATTGGAGCGGGGAACCCCTGCCAGGAACTAGCCCTATGGTGGAAATGGTTAAGCGTGAACTAAGAATTAAGCTAATGGCTTGTCTACGGTTGGCTTCAAGGTTGGGCTTGGTATGCCTCGGAAAAGCACGTGGGTTATACGGAGATATAAGTAAGATCGGTCTTGTTGGACCTGGGTCTACTACAGGTTATGTTATCTACTGCTACTGCTTGACTGTCCTCGGTTGAATGGTTCTGATAGTTTTTTGCTCATTGGCTTAAGTAGATACATTCGCTAAGGTAACGCCGGGTATGTGTATGGCTAAAAGTCGCCCGAACCCGTGGGTATCACAGATGGAAGAAACGATATCTGACCATAATAGAAAATTTTTGCAAAGAAAAGCAAGACATGACGCATTATTGGGAAGAAGAATGTTCCCAGATTTTGTTTTTTAATCATCACTGAAGCAGCGGAGATACCCCTATGCCCATTTGCCCAGCAACGCCATGAGGGCGGCTCCAGCACAAAGAAGGAAGAAGGCAATCAGCACGTCGCGGATGGGAGCCTTGCGCATGGATTGGCTGAACATGAACTCATGGGCCATAAGCTCAACGAGGGCAGTATAGATGAGAATGCCAGCGGAGATAGAGTCAAAGACACCGTTGACGATGAGTGTGGTTCGGCCGGTAGGCGGGTAGCTGTTTCGAATACCCAAGCCAATAGCAATGGCAATTGGAGTCGAGATTCCAAAGGCAAACCCCAGGAAGTAGGGAGTGTTGCGCTTCGATTTGGGCCAAGGAATTGTAGCTAGTCGAGAACCAAGACCGAGTCCTTCAAAGGTTTGATGGAAGACAAGCACAATGTAAAGGGTAGTGAACTCGGCGCCTGACACTGCAAGAGTGAGACCAATGAAAACGGAGTGAAAGATAATACCGAACTCCAGGATGAAGATCGAAGTAAGCTGAGCGGCATAGTCCTCAACCGCTTGGATGTCGTTTTCGGAATCGCTGTTATCGTGATGCTCACGGGAATGACCAAGGTGATCCTCCCCTGGCATGTGAATCTTGGGCTCGTTGGATTCGTTGACAATAGAGTGATCATCGAGTTGGGTGTGGGTATTGCCTTCCTCGTCGTGCACATGTCCTTGGCCAAAGTGCGAGAAACGCATAACCATCAGCTCCACAAAGAAGAGAACAACAATGGTCATGAGAATGATGCCCTCGACCCAGCTGTACTCAGTAATTGGGCCGGTCAAGCACTCGTTCTTCAGTGCCTCTTCCGCCGGAGCCAACAGGTGAATGAAAGCAGTGGCAATGATCACACCGGATCCGAAGTATTTAGCAACGAAAAAGGCCCATTTGGGAAATCCACCATTCTTGCTAAAGCGACGGGCAAAGACCGGGAACAGAGCACCAAACATGGAGCCAATCATGATCACAAAGACGGAGGAGATCCGCAGGCCCATCCGGCCGTCGAACTCATTGCCGGATTCACAAGCATCCTCGCGCTTGAGGAGAGTAGAGTAAGACTCCATTGAGGTCGATTTATGGTGATACAAGAAGTATGGAAGAAGTGTAGAAGTGGGTCGAAAAGCAGGTCTATGAGAACCAATGAACTGCACAGAATACAAGCAAGGTAGAGAGATAATGGTGCAAGTGTCCCAATTGAGGAGAGAAGAATTTGTGATCCAGCTGAGACAAGAAGAATGGGTTTGATGACCACAAACTTGTAGCGGGGGGTGTGTGCGAGGCTAGTTGACCGCAATCCCCAAGGTCCTCGATGGTAGGCGAGATGCGTCGTTGGTACACTAACCACGCATGAAATTACCAGGAGATCCTGACAATGTCAAACTTTGTGGATCCTGATTGAACAGAAGATAGCGAGAAAGAAATAAAGGCTTCCTCGGCTGCCCGCGGGTGTATAAGTCGCACTGTGAGGTCGCACGGTGCAAATCTTTCAATAGGTTTTCTCGTCAGAACGAGTACCCTGGGAGCAAGGTCGGAAAATTCAGCCGATATAGATAATAAATCAACTCCTTTAAATGAGGGACAGAATCAAAACCGAATCAGAATCTGCGGGATCTTGATTATATTAATCACCGGGTGTCCCTGGAGGGGATCCATGGGGACCTTGGGAGCGCGAAGACGTCAACGACTGGAGTTTTACACTCTATCAGACCGGTACCGGGTACTTGAAAATCCATACAGTTGTGGGCGTAGCCGGAAGTACCCGGTACCAAGGACTAGCGTGTTGAGGACCTTGGGAGTCAGTTATCCGATTGCGGTTGCCGTGATTAAGTCACGTGGTCAGGAGATAATGTCCTCTCTGTGATCCAAGGTCTTTGTTCCATCTTTTTGTTCTTGATGGAATAGGTTAGGAAGACTGGAATGATTAGAAGGTTTTTGAAGGAACGTGGTTGACAGCCCCCTTGAGAGAGAGTCCTTTCCGCCCTTGCACGCGTTTCGAACGCGAATCGGAGGATCGGCGGCAAAAGCGCTTGGCATGGTCTTGAGGTCATAGGGAAAGCCTTTCGACCACGCCCTTGCGCAGTACCAGCACATTCGAACATGGCTCCTATTCGACGATATCTTCGCATTAGCAAATACTCAGTACTGGAATGTCGCATTTATCTGGAATCCCCATCTGATTCACGATGGCTCTTGGACTCTCGCAATCCTGTCCTCCCGCTCGTCATTGCTGCCGTTCGACCGTTAGTCCTTCCGAAGCTGCGTGAAGAGAATGAGCGATTGTTCATGCGCAAGAAGGGCAAGCCGGTCAAGGATGTCATTGTAGAAGGTATAGACCACTCGATATTCCTCGTATAACGAACCGAGTATGTTAACACATTACCTAGATGAATTCGAAGTGGCCATCTTCCTCCGCGAATCCCGCACCCGCCATTCGCTCCTCACGCGCAACAAGACATTCCAGGGAAAGGAAAATCAGGTTCAGGACTTGGAAATGGAGGTGAAACCAGACCATGCCTCAGGGGATACGGCTGCCAACCCGGTTAACTCGACAGGTGGCGAAATTATGATCGAGAGTGACAGTGAGCCTGATCTGGAATTGCATAATATTCCCGAATCGGAGGATGAAGTTGCACTGGGGAATGGACGTCGGTCAAGCAGGAGAAGTCGGACAACTAAGGAAGACTGGGCGACACCGGAAGACACGACTGGCAGTGATGAAAAGAAGCTTCGTTTCAGCACCCATTATGAGAGCTTCAATATCCATGGCTGGGTCTTATGTCTGTTGATCACCCGTAAGGGCGACAAAACCAGACCAAGTGCTGCGGTATCTGAGTCAAATCGGCAACCTCTGATGGAAGAATGGATTTCAACTCAGGCTCAGGCGTCTGTTGACGACGATTGATCCAAGCTAGGTCGCCAGCTGAGTGTGGACCTGGCAATGCTCAATGTGGCTGACAGGGATGCTGCTTACGTTTAAGCTTTGTCAACCCCGTACTGTGAGCAGCCGTGGTGGGATGATTAGTCGCAAAGGGCCCTGTGACACTGGCAGCACTGCCAAGTACGGAATACTGCCAGAGTTATTAGTGATCTATTTTGTGCCAACCCCCTGTAAACGCTACAAGGTTGTGCTTCAATTTGTCTGTGTCGCAAACACCGTGTGAGAGACCTTGTCTCATCTTGTCAATCATGGGTTCGGGGACTCATGTTGCGCGATACGTCGACTCCATGACTACGATGCTAGGTGTCACTTATGAGAGAGCACAACGCCTTCCCAATTCCGGGCCGCGACAGGACTTGCACTGTGTAATGATGTGATCGGCAGGTGGTGTCACCTAAGATCAGGCAGGTTACGCAAGTGGCGGGCTGTCATACTCCCCAGATGACTTCTTCAGGCACGGTGCCAGGTAGACAGCCGCTGAGACGAAAATGTCAGCCACGGGACCCTGGGCGCATGCAACCAGTGACATCTCGATGATCTACGAGCCATAAGACATAGTGTGATATTGACTTTTCTACTCTGTACATGACTCTGTTTACATGTCTCGGTCGTATTCACGACACTCTACGAGAACACGGACAAGGGCATGAAACTAGTCTCTCTCACACATTCCAATTTCCTCGGAGACATTCCGATTCCACCCAATCTGAAAACCCACATGTGGTATGGGCTCTCGCAACCTCGGGCCGCAACTTCCAGAAGGCAAGCTAGAAGATTTTGAAGTGGAGCTCGACTTGAAACAGCCCGTCTCCATCTCGTCTCGTGACCCCAACCAACACCTTCTCAATGGAGAAGGATTTTAGTCCCCATGTGCTGGGTTCGGGAGCATGAGCATCCATTTTTTGATTGACTGTACTGTGTAGCATATCGTGTGTACTCAAGCATCAAAACTATTCTTTAGAATACCTTAGCCTTTAAATCAACAACCAATAAACAGGCTATGTGAGATATCTCAAACCGATCGTGCTACGATCAGGGGGAAACCCGATCTGTTTAGCAAGCCGAACTCAGGTCATAAATCTCCGACTCCTAAATCACAACTCCACGGCTTTTATTTCCAACGGTGCGGAAGTATGGAATTCAAGTGGAGCAGACTTTGCCTAATTGGGATCATTTATTGAAGTTTGGAAGTTTGCGGTCCGCTAGTTCATAAGTAGAGTTTTCCTTCCATGTGTTCTTTTCCCTCTTACTTTTTTTTTTGCCACTTTTCCCACTTTTTATTTTCCCCTTTTTTGGTTCCCCGGGCCTTAGCTCAGGTACACCCGTGTGGTCGTATACATTCCAAGGTTCCATGTTTGCCACTTGACACCCCACTTTGTACTATACCTTACTTTTTCATCGTAAGCTGGGTAGTCAAATTATGCTGTTTTTAATATACGGAATACTCCCGAGGTCCGTATAGACTTCCAA